AAAATAGATAACTTAGACACTATGATTTTTAATATGACACTCTTGACACATCGCAGGTTTCCCATCGCATCCATCGCGATATGTTCTTACTTTTCTTACCTTTTTTCTTGCTTCTGTTCTTGATATTTCTTTTGTTAGATTGATATAGCAAAGTTTACATTGTTTTCGAGTTTCCTTCTCTGATTTTTTCAATAAATGTGCAACTTTTACAGTTGTTAGGCAGGTTATACCAGCATTATTTCAAAATAATAAAGACCTGGCCACATCTTCTCCTAACTTATTTATGTTTGATTTAGATTTGGAATGTTCTTTGTATATATTGAATGCATTTACCATCGACATGCCCGTCAGCAACTCAAAAAATACCTTTCGGTACCATTTGACGCCTCGTCGATTGCATGTACTGTAGGACGCCATTTGGTCGGACTTGTCAATACCACACTTGCCATTATTATAAGCAATAATTGCGTCTGGTTTCAATGTTGACGTGTTGTTAGTTTCTTTTTTCGTTTTTGGAGTGGGCTCCTCGTTACTGCACCTTGGAGAAAATGCTCTCTTTCGTTTGCTCTCATGCCAATTCCGTGAACTGTAGATAACGATAAGTACGTCCCTAGCATCTTTCCATTTGGAAACGACGATCCCATCTTTAGTTTCTCGCGCAATGTACTCATATTTTTTGAGCTTCTTGGTCGTGACATCTTTTGGGAGGTATTTTCTGGACCGTCTAAGCGTACCTACTAGATGTGTACTTTTGCTTAGAAGAATTCTGGCTAATGGACAACTAGTATAAAAGTTGTCAGCATACAGAATTCTTCCTTCGTTCAATAATCCTTCATTCAAGGTCAATACGACAGATTCACCAATCCCAAGTCCAGCAGGAAGCTGTTCTTCACTACGGCCAGTATAAATTAGACATTTCCATGTATAACCATTTGGACTGCATAATTTAAAAAGTTTTACCCCGTATTTGTGACTCTTGGATGGTATGTACTGGCGAAATTTCAGTCTGCCTCTCCATGGTATCATGCTTTCATCTATTACCATTTCTTTTCCAACTGTATAAGTCTGCTGAAAAGAGTTATTCAACATATCAAGAACAGGTCTGATCTTGTAGAGTCTATCATTGTTATTCTCGTGTTCCCTGCTGCTAAAATGAATCATCCTCGAAAGCATTTCGAAACGATTTCTTGATAATACTTGAGATACTTGATTTTTATATAATACATCGGTGGACCAATATGATGCAAGAGTAGGTCGACTATTTAGACCCATCCAAATATATAAACCAACAAATTTCTGAATTTCCAGTTCATTTGTAGGGTTCCATTGATTTAGTCTTGATTTCCGAGTTAGTTTTGTATTCGAAATTGTAAATTCCGCATAGCGGTTTGTTTCTTCCACTATGAGAGCTATTAGATCAGACGAAAAAAATAGTTGAAATGCATTGAGGGGTGTAAAATTGTCTGCTACATCTACTTGAATACCTTCATTACCGGTGAATTGAAATGTTTGATGATTCCCAGAGTGGTCGTACTAAACAAAACAAAACAAAATCAAATTGTTTATTTGAAGGATCTAATGCTGTCGGCTCGGGTTTGTGACCTTCATCCTGTATTAATTCGTCATCATCTGATGAACTGAATTCATTATTGGAATCCCCACTCAACTCGCTGCCAGAGTTATTGTAATCGGGATCAACATCTGAGAAGTCGGAAAAATCCGTGAACTCCCCGTCCTCCTCGGTTATTTTATCCACTTCTTGCTGAAGTTCTAGAGAAGCTTTTTCAAATTCCAACTCCTGTAAAAAAAGATATTTAATGTTTCTATTTTCGAATATTTAAACTTTATCATACGCATACACACAAACATACTTACACACATCTAAACAATACTTACATTATGTTAGTTATTGAGCCAACAGTGATGTTCACAAAATTGAAAAAATATCTTGTACTTCCACGCCGTGTCAGTCGATTCTGGAAACACCAACAAACGTGACGTATTCGTGCTCAGTGCTAAATAAACACTGAATATGCATCATCCGACGTATAATCGTATCCCCACCATCCAAAACAACGCGCGGCGTGGCGGCAGTCGAATGCACGAAATGACCACGGCGCAAGTTGGGTTTTTGTTGTCAGTCGAAAAAGACTGACATGGCAGTCAGAGTGTTAAGAAAACAAATATTTAAGATAAAAATGTTATTAAATATTAGATAAATATTTAATGAATATTTCGTGCTATCGGGGTGAATCACTGAGAAAGAAAGATATAATACGTGTGAAATTATACAATCAATAAACTGTGCAATTTATCAAAAGAAAATCATCGAAAAGGGTTTGGCACAGGAATGGGCATTCTATAATCATTAAAGCGAAATTCAAATTACTAGGTAAGTGATCAAAATAGTAAAAAAAAGGTTACATGATTTTGGCACAGTAGAAGCCCCTATTTTGCTGCTTTGTGTGTATATACCATGTATTGAGAAGATTTGATTTATGAAAAGTTCTTTCTGGAACGCAAAATGTACTAAATTTTTGTGTAATTCAAATATCTAAACAGTCTGGATCCAGTTAGGCACCCAATAGTTGTATCACTGTAATGTTTCTATTTATCTACAGATTAGAATCCAGTAAGCCATCGTTCAAGTATAACTGATTTGGCTTCAACTTTATCTCACCTGAGTTGTTAAAATATTGGCCTATCATTTATGTATTTGGTTCAAACGCCCTCTTGTCAATTCGAAATATCAGATAATAGCTGGTTACAGCACTAACAGTAGTGACTAGAAAGTTCGCGTCAGATTTGAAAATAACAATCCGTGACGGCGTTAGAGCGAAATCTGTGAATGTAGCGAAAAACTTTAATTTCTGCTTGTAACACATAGGACGTGGATCCGAAGTTGGAAGAATCAGACCTACCCCGTTTCAGACATATGATACTAAATTTCATAATAATGCCATTATAAATAAGAAGCTTCAAATACATAATTACAACCTAATACGAAGATATTTGATGAATTATAAGGAAAATATGGACTATAAGCCATACCAATTTTCAAATAGAGCGCAAATGCGTTTTCTAGTTCAGTAAAAGCCAAGATATGCAATTCTATCTTTGAGGCTTTCTGTGCAGACACCTGGTTGGCGGAATGTGTATGAAAATATAGTTACGCAGTCCATGAGTAAAATACCAACATAACCATGTACGACAAGCTTCAGTTTTTGAATTTCACGTTGACATTACCGTGGAATTGCTCAAAAGTGGTAACGAATAACCGCTGATCATTTGGTGACATCGAAAATACTCCGTTCAAGTGACAAAGGCGTACCTTATGCTTCGTTTAACGAAAGCCCGTTGCATAATGAAAATGACAGAACTTCCACCGCGATACCAGTGGATGCGTATGCGCAACTGGTGATACAAAATATTTCTTGTTTTCGCTCTTATGTTAAAACAAAAGCTACAGGATGACAAGCACTGGACATACTTAGACTGGACAAATAGGCAAACTGCGTTAAGATTGACTACAATTCTCCATCACTTTTTTGATATTAATATACCCTAATTGTATCATTAAAATAATAAATTCTTGTGGTTTATGCTGCGTAAGAGTACCGTTGGATTATATAAATTTTCAATTGCCTTCTTGTCTATAAAATAAAGATACCCTGAATATTCTATAATATATTCAGTTGACACTTCCAGATTATCTTTCGTTGAAAGTTTCTCATAAAAATTTTATTCGGGAGCGCCATTTGTGATAATATCTAGTCGTGATCAGCAGAGGAAGCATAATCATATCTTTCTGTAAACAAGTTTAATTATTCCAAATAATGCATTTGCTTTGTAAGATATATGTATAGCATAAAATAGATTTATTTTTTAAGGAAAAAGTAGGTGAGAGGCTGGATATAACAAATTTTGAAGTAGATACAATAAATTCTTTGATAGGTGTATCATCCATGGAAACGGTGACTGAATAGTTGAGATAAAGTAAGACACTTGAAAACATTGCCTTAATTGTTAAAAGTCAGTATATATAGCGCCAAAAGAAAGAGTTGAAAGTCTGACAACGTAACTTTTAAGCAACATATGTTAAAATAAAAAAATGGAAAATGAAAAAATGTTAGGAAGTATCAATAGGGTGATTACATTGTTATTAAAATCCATAGAAAGAAATATTTGCATCTACTTCAAAGTTTTAGAAATAGAACCTTATGGTTTTCATGAGCAGTGAGATCCCATTTAATGTGACTCAAAAAAATAGCCTAGACATACACATCATCTTCATAAACAATTCAATTTTGTCAAGGTATATCTTGGATACAGTCCAGTCTCTAATAACAAGGTCCAAATACATAAAAAGTAGTCATTTAAATATATACAAGTACACAATTTATGATTTGAAACAGTTTATTATTAATTATTAGCTTGGTGCCCAGTATACTGCATCTTTTATATAGTGATATTTTTTGTAAGGTACTATGTTTTTTTCTTCAATTTCTACAAATGATTTGGTGCCATTTTAAATTGAAAATCTTAATATTTATTCAAGTGTTTAGACGAAGTATAGTTTTAATACTGCATGTTGTGAGTGTTGTATCTTCATAATTTTATATTTAAGTTATAATTTATTGTAATTTATATATGTATATAATTCCAAAATATATGAACATTTTGTAAGGAGTGTTTAATAATTGAATTACAAAGTCATAGTAGTTATCAGCATTGTCGATTCTCTCTAAAAATATTGAAAGGAAATTTTGTGTTTGTATCGAATAGTTCTACGAAAAAAGCTTGATGTGAAATTGATATCTGCAGGTTTGATAGGCGATGGACAGATATTGGAAAAAGAAGCAGTGTTGTATTTTAGCATTTTTTATGCTAAAGATTATAGAAATGATCTTTCATTTCAGACATGAGATATTGCTGACATTGAAATGACCGAAGCACGTATTGCAAAACATAATCTCGTTTAACTCTGATTAAGAATTTGGAGCAAATCCCGAATTTATTCTGGAATGTTAGCTATTTTCCATTAACGTGAACTCTCAAACGGACGAAATTCGTAAAAATAAACACATTTATATTGAGGCGATGTACAATTTTCTGACTTTGTTCCAGATCCATGTAACTTCGATCATAGTTTATCAGAAAAATTGATTAGTTCACCCTGTTGATATACATATGCTGACTCCGTTCAGATTTGAGTTACTGAATAATGAATATACGAAATTTTGAAAAAATCACTAAAAAACTAACGTATCTCCAAAACATTGACACGATATTTTATTTATAAGTCAATGACAAAAGTAGTTAGTCAGACGATTCCGTCAACACGTAGATATTATCCGTATCTACCATATTTTGATTAATCCAGATTTGTGATTCATTTACATAGAGTGTATTCCAAGAGGGTTATAAATATAGAATATCCAGCTCTCAGGAGCCGAAACGTGGCTGAAATGACTAATTTTAGTCTACCGATGTCGGCTATTGTACTTGCACGCATTTCTCAGTTTGCTGGCAGTTGTGCTACGATACACATCTCATCTTATTGGTAAGTACATGCATCTCACTTTAGTTGCATACTTTTTTACTGTAGATAAAGTACTATGAAACTTTTATAAAGGTAACTCATCTCCCCTCAATAGTAGGGCGTACAATCACGCGAAACCCATTCGCCGTTTTTTTCTTGTCCACCTTATTTTTAAACCAAATCTCAATTTTGTGTTGCGCGAAATTTGTAACAGTTTAGAAAAAATCTGTTGTTTCTGATAGTATGTCCAAAAAGTTTATATTTTGCAGTTGGGTGAATGAATGAATAGTTTAGTCACTACTTTATTTTTCGGTAAATGTGTTTTATGGTTTTCTTTAATTCCAAGGAGATCCTGTTTGATTCAATATCTTGTGATATTAAGAAAAAAATATGGTTTTAAGGTGGGTCGATCGTGCAAGGGTACGCTTACAAATCAGCAGCAATTATTTCTTTATTTACTGGAGAAATGAAACAAATAAATTATTAACATTTTGATGTACATAGATTGTTGAAAACATATACTTTTTCTTAAATTATGTCTTTCAGGTAAGTAGTGACACTATTATTTTCAATAAAATGGTCAATAATTGTTATCTTATCAATCTATTGTACAGGGTGCGGCAGAGAGGATGGACGGTTTTAAAAAAATCATAAAATAGTTAATTTTTACTCGAAAACAAATTTATTGATGGAATCAGGTTCACAAGGAAATAGCATTTGAGACAGTCAAGTGTGAAAAATCACATCAGGCATGTGATGGCCGAAATGGTTGATGCAGTGCTGGAGGCGTTCTTGGAAGTTCGCGTAGACTTCCACGCGAATTTCGCCCTTCAATTCGTCCAGAGTTCGGGGCTTGTTCTCGTATACTCTAGCCTTGAGGTGTCCCCATAAGAAAAAATCGCATAAATCTGGGGACCGAGGAGGCCAATGAACATCGCCAAATCTGGAAATAAGGCGACCAGGGAAGAGAGGGCGAATAACGTCCATGGATGCTCTGGCTGTGTGGGCGGTCGCCCCATCCTGCTGGAACCACACACGTCGGATTGGAACACGTCGCCGTCGTAATTCAGGGAGAAAGAAGTTGGTGATCATGTCGACGTAGCGCTCTGAGTTCACGGTAACATCACGACCATTACCGTGTTCGAAGAAGTAAGGGCCAATGATGCAAGTTTGCGATACAGCGCACCAAACCGTTACTTTTGGGCTGTGCAGCGGTCTTTCGTGTAACTGTTGCGGATTTTCATTAGCCCAATAACGACAATTCTGCTGGTTAACCATGCTGAAAGTGGGCTTCGTCACTCATAAACAAAATGAGGTTCTCATTTTGATCGATCATATCTCACGTGCGAAGTTCATTCGTTGTGCATAATCTCCGGGCTGTAACTGTTGCACAATGGCCAATTTGTAGGGGTGAAAGCGGAGATCCATTTGCAAAATTCGCCTTACCGAACGATCACTAAGGCGAAGTGCAGCAGCATGTTTCCGGGCAGATCGAGTCGGACTGCGAAGAAAGACCTGTCGAACGCGTTCAACATTTTCAGGAGTTCGAACTGTTCGCGGCGCTCCTCTTCGTCTTCTGTTGATCAGTTCACCACGCCTGCGAAGTGATTCAACCCAACGAATGATGGTGTTTCGAGAGGGAACAGCTCTATTCCGATGAATGTTGAAGTGGAGACGAAACTCACGCTGTACGACGATGACTGACTCATTATTTCGGACGAAACAATCATAGGCGAAAACGCGGTGCTCCGCCGTCCAAGGCTTCATAACGACAACTGGTAAAATAATTAAATAATGCTAGGATCTCACGAGTCAAACGGCACCCTCCCTACCTCTCTCGTAGACGGAGGCGGAGAGTACTAGCCATCCCAAAAATGTCCGTCCTCTTTGCCGCACCCTGTATTAGGATTGATCCATGTTTCGAGCAAATCCTTTTTGATTCGTCGAATTTGCGTCTCTGTCAAATTTTGTGTCCTGGACCAAATGAATAAATAAGTTTCTGTAGCTCAACCAGGTGATATATGGGGTATTTCTTGATTTAATAAGAAAAACAGGGGCCCATGTTACACTAATGGTATAATTTTTCTCTAGTTTGAATATCTTACAAGAAATCGACCAAATTCATTATATCCATTACTTCAAAAACGCCTTCTCATTGGTCGAATTTGTACTGTATACGGCAAATTTTGCACCGCGGATTAGTAAAATCGGGCCTAACAGTCTTACGCATACTAAATAGTTATTAACAGATAAACGCAAATGAACTGGATAGCCAAGCAAATCATTCCGTGCTATTTGTGTATCTTCAGAGAATTTCTAAAAAATATTCTTTAGAATAACGTTCTATGTAAAACTGATTTCATGGAAAAATTGTGAGTCGCCGATTTCTATATATTTTACGTAAAAAAGTTCTGGAATCAGAGAAAGGTTGGAAGAATTGAACCACATTGCGTTGCATGAATACAAGGAAACTATAAGATCGAGAAATCAAAAGGTATATCACTCGAAAATATTTTGGAAACGTTTGCATACAATAATTTATTGTTGGATTAAAACATGCATTTCCACCGCCATTTAAAATGATTCAAAAATTATTGTTGATGAATTGTCAGTTATTTTACTGTATAAGTATGCTCAATTACTGAACTATTTGCTAATAATTTATTTTTCTGTCCCTGTGTCTTGGCCAAAGATATATTTCAGCTTTCAGCAGATATTAATACATTTTTATATTCATTTTTAACGTTTCTGGCTGCTTCCACGTCTAATCATGATACTGATATTTTGTCTTCGTAAACCGATTTTATGTATAAAAATCTCAAACTCATTCGTAAATACTACGACTCGTAAGTTTTTGAAACAAATAACGGTGTGTTATTGACAGTAAAAAGTAGACAAAAGTGGGTGATGATTGACGTCATTTTTAACATGTGTACTACATTAAAGAGTGAGCATTTTGCAGTCAGATATAAATTTTCATTTGTAGGTTAATCATTTAGTTTTTTTTCTTAGATGTCTCCCGTTACTATAATAGGTTTATAGTTTTGATATTTTTTTACTTACTTGAAACTCTATGGTCAGACATTTCAAATCAACGCAAATGTTGCGTGGGGATCTTTTTTCTCTCAAACGACGTTTCTAAAAAATATCACTACCAATTAAATTCCTGTTCGTGGTTTTGTAGATGTGGGTGCTTTGCATGAGTTCATTGAGGCCGAAAAACCTAGCTAGACACGAGCAAATGAAATCAAGGAAATAGGGGGTATGGGGGTTATTACCGTTCGGGAGCGTACATCTATTTCACGTGTATCCATTATTACGTTTTGACGTCTACTGAGGTGAACAGCTGATCAGCGAATAAAAGAGTCGTAAGCAAGTACAAAATGAATCCGTAGCGAACAAAAAAAATCCTTCAGAATTGTGTGTCACTTGTCGATATGTGTAATATTACTAGATAATCAGCTGTGATTCTACCGTAATGGATACTCGTGAAAAAAGACAGATGGAATAATGCAATACACATAAGCGACCGTTGGCGAATATTCCACTTGTTTAGACTTTTAGAGGTTGTGGTACTGGCCTCACATCCAGGTAGCTGCTAAAAATGAATTAACTGCTACCATTTTGAATACAATATGGCGGATGCTACAAAATGACGATTCATCAGTTCCATAGCACCCCTATGATATAAGAGAAACGCAATAAGCAAAGTAACGTCATTTCACACCCAATATGGCAACATGCCCAAGGTGGCGTTTATAATTATCTAAGTCAGTCCTATGATAGAGGTAATATGGCGGCCAAAGCAAAATAGCGATTTATAGTCACCTATATACCATGTCTATGAAGTGAAAGGGCTTGATGAGGGAACATAATGAGCAAGGTGACGTCATTCTAGATCCAATATGGCGGCCGCCGGTGAATGGTGATTTATAAGTCCCGTGGTCACTGTTATGATATGGGTATCAAATGAAAGGGCTTAGTGAGAGGAACACGAGAAGCAAGTAACATAGTTTCAAATCCGTCAAAATACCGATTTATCATTATATGGCTATATCTATCGAAATTGATATGGAAGTTATTTAAAAATTACGATATTGGTTACTTGACACCTGTGAAAGATAAATAAAATAAAAAATACATTTTTAAAAACAAGGTTTTTATTAGCTGTTCATATAAAAAGTATTTTTTTCCGATTGGAAATATGTAAACGATAAAGAAGCTCCTTTATCCCAAGTTTTCAAGTAAAACCGTGTTACATACTTTTTCTATCCTGCTGTTGAAACATAACACGTTTTTATTTGGAAACTTGAGATACAGGAGCATCATTATCGTTTAAATTTTTTTAATTGGAAAAAATATTTGAAATTTTTAGTTCATTTTATGAACAGCTAAATAGAAGCTTGTGCTAAAAAATATGTTTTTTTAATTTCATGTTTATACAATCTCAAATCGCTTTCTCATCTAAGCTGCTCTCCCATACTTTCTTCCTTGAAATGTGGAACGATCTACCAAAAGAAAGACTTCTTCTGCAATTTACGTGATGTGGAACGAACTAGCAAAAGAAAGACTTTTTCCGCAATTTATGTGAACATTTAGCACGGTTGTTCCAGATTCTACATTTGTCGGTCATTATCTGGCAACAGGTGAGCACAGTGTCCCATGTAATGTCAGGAATGCTTCGTGGTCGCCAAAATGTTTCACTCTAATTAACCTGGTTAGAAATGGGCCAAACTCTTTTACGCGTAGCTCAACTTTGTCGGATTTCTGCCATGAATAATGATAAATAACACTGCATTTGCGAGAAGACGGAAGTATAAGTTTGAGATGCCTTGCCAATGGCTTCTCCTCAAGTACTTATATTAGTATTGGTTAAATGAACCATATAGCAATTTGAGACATATTTGTATAAATCATCGTTGAAACAAATAAGGAATTTTATTACACATAAGATTTCTCTACTAAGGACCGTGAGACGGTCCACCCTTCGGTAGCTTTACAATACTCAAAAAATATATTAGGTCAATACCTTGGCGGCTCAAATATAAGAAATAGCCACCTACAGTGGCTATCCAAAAGCTATTTTATACCTTTCGTGAAAATTTATAAACACGAACTGCAATTTGTACATACTTAAAACTAAATTTAAATTTTGTTGTGAAAAGTCTCTCAACGGATGCAGGTATTTGATTCGGATTTTCGTGCACAGCGCCAAGGTTTTCCGTGAAATCGTCTTGTACGTTAAACACTGACTATGGTGCCAAAACATTCATTATAAAGCTGATTTCGCAATTGAAAGTCTTAGTAGGTATGCGACTACCTCTTTATTTTATTTGCCAAGAATATGGAATTTGGGATTTTAATTATTTTCGAAAAGTAAATCTCTCACTTCCGTATGAGCGTATGTCTGGTAATCACATCTGCAACTAGGAAAGTGCCCCTCAGGTTGTGATACAATTTTGAATCAATGCAATTGTTACGGCAAAACCTGTTACACATACTTGACACATATTTTTTTATTTACATAAGAAACAGTATTTACATTATTTACTATATATATCTAGAATAAAATTCAAACGAAGGCTAGTTAAGTTATACATGGTGTTTTCAAAGTTGAGTCATTTATTTTAACTGCTTGTAGGACTCGCCAAAAGAAGTTGATATACAAAAAAAACACCTATATAAAAGTTGCATAATAAAAGAAATAGTAAAAGATTAAAAATTTAAAAAAATAAAAAATATTATTACACAGATTTTTTGATATTCTCGACCCCTGCCGTATAAAATCTTAGCGTTTTTTGTTTACTACTCTTATCGTTTATCTAAATATGGCAAACCTTTTTGTGTTATATTGTACGGTTTTGAGTACGAGTCTTTGGTTCAATCAGTTGTATCAGTCTTTTGATAGTGCGTATACTTTCATTTGTCTGATTTTATTTTGTGCAAAAAATGGCCCACGTTTACGAAAACAATGAACTAGTGGGCATAATACTAACATACGGAGAGCGTTGTTTGCGGAAACGCTCCCTTTAAGAAATCATGCGGCCCCACGGATGTTTGTAAATTTAGTTATGAGACTTCGTGACACATGATATTTAAAAGAACAACGAGGAGGTCACGCTGGAAGACCTGCTCAACCTGAAATGTTACAACTTGAAGAACTCATTTCAGAAATGGTCGAAAACGACCCAACAATGAGTACTAGAGCCATGACAGCTCATTGAAGTTTCTCGTAGTAAAGATCCTCATCACTATAAACGGAGCAGTTTGGCAGAAATGAAGATTTTACGAAATTAATTTTGTGTACAGACGAGGCCACATTTACACGAAATGGAGTGCATAACTTCCACAATAATCATGTTTGGGCAGTAGAAAATCCGAATGCTGTAAAAAGTACTCGTTTTCAACATAAATTTTCATTAAATGGGAGATGGCATTATTATTGGACCCTCGTTTTTTCCATCTCGACTGATCGGTGTAATTTATTTAGATTTTCTTTGTCACAATCTGCCACAATTATTAGAAGGTGTTCCTCTAAATGTGAGACAGAATATGTGGTTCCTACACGATGGAGCTCCACCACATTTTAGACGAGAAGTTCATGAACTAAATAATGAGTTTCCGAATAGATGGGTAGGGCGCAATGGACCCATATTTTGGCCTGCTCGCTCCCCGGATTTAACGCCTTGCGATTTTTTTCTGTGGGGCGTTTGGTGTATCATGATGGAGCAGTAAATACTCTGGAAGAACTTCAACAACGCACTGAAAATGTTTGTGAAGTAATTCGTGGACACCAGGATTTTATTTTCGAAACTTGTAAAGAGTTGTGGATTCGCCGTGCAAGATTTCGCATGGGGACAATTTTGAACAGTTGTTGTAAAAACGGTATCCATTTAACTTGATAATGATTTTTTTTAAATAATTTTTTATAATGTAAACCAAGTCTCTTATTACGAAACTTTTGCATAGTTGACTTTTTTGGACGAGTTCTACAAGCTGTTAAAATAAATGACTCAACTTTGAAAACAACTTGTAGAAGGACCTAAGTGACTTAACACTTATGTTGTGCTCATATCGTCAAACAAATGTATTTAGCATAATGTAAGAAATTGCAAACATTTAAATTAACAAAATATCAATATAACATAAGAGTTTCAAATCAACATTAATTTGGTTCCTGGTTACCCAACCCCCTAGTTTTTTAATAAGTTCTTCGTAGTGACCAGAATGTATTGTTTTATGGATTTTGCAAATGTCTTGCTGTTAGGGGTATTTCTCATTTCAATGGGCAATATAGTATACATTTTTGGTAAAGTATAAGTGGTTAAGTTGATTTTTAAATGCATATAAACAAACATTTTGAATGAAAATTGATCGCAGGTTGCCGATATTATACAGGGTGACTTTGAAGTTGAGTCATTAATTTTCAGATAATGATTGTAGAAGGAAGATAAACCAAAATATGTGTGTAAAAATAAAAAAAAAATTACAAAAAATGTTATCTTGTTTTATAAAGTATCCTCCCGACAAGTATTTCAGTGCGGACCTGTATTTGTTCGTGCGGTCTTGGAGCACCGGCATGCCCTCCCCTGTGAGGTCTTAAGTCACCTGATTCACGAGCCCTTTGTACTACATTAACAAAGGCACGAGGGGTTGGTTGCACTCGATTAAATAAGAATCATGTCCACAAGTTCACCATTTTCGTAAACATGTGCCATTTTTTATTTCGTTTGAGACACGCAACAAACACCACTATTCACTCACCCGTTACCGACTGAAACATTGACTGACATCGTGATAAACGTTTCAAATTCTATAGCTTTTTTGTTTCCGATGCGATGAACCGATAAGGCGGATTATATCCGTTGTTGCCAAACACGAGCACATACTATTATTGAGACAGGGCGGTACTCAAACTTCTAAAGGGCTATAACTTTGTTAATTTAATTTTACCAGAAAAATGTTAAAGGAAAAAACATTTCTTTTGATCAGATCTACTCACTGTTAAAATAAATGACTCAACTTCGAAGTGTATAATAAATAGATACTTTTAGCATACCATCTTGAGCAGTCTTTAGTTAGGGATGTAACGTTTGTATCTGCGAGACAATAGCTATTTATGTATCTGTGGCATGAAGTGCTCGAAATTTAGAGCACAAGGTGCGAAGCTCAGTTGCTTAGTAACATACAAATACTGAAAGTTCTCGTTGTCGGGTTAATTTAACGGTATTGGGCGCTAAAGTTGCCTTGTCGCCATAGGGCGTAAAGTACATTTGTCTATACGGTCGAAGGTAGATTTTCTGTAATAAAGATATTCAGAATGTTACGATGCATCCATATCATTTTGTGGCAGTCTGAGTACTTCTAACAGATTTGGTTCACCTTTCGTTTGTTGTACAATTATGGCTGTAGTTATTTTTAGTGAATTTGTCCTCCGCTGCGCTTCCAGCTACTATATTTGAACCAAAAAAGATCTTTTAAAATCACAAATCTGATTTTTAACCACTTTTTTAGGAGCCATGCTCATTTTGGATCATTTCTATGATATTTCGTACATTAGCAGATTCCAAACAATAATGCAGATAAATAGATACATTCAACTTAATTGTGTCTGGCGCAATATATTTATATTGTTAAATAATTTATGTGCGGAGGCACTAGATTAACTTTATGACAATTTCAAAATATTTCCGACTTGTGCTTTCTCTGTTATAGTTTCCTCTCAATTTTATTTACACACCCGCCCTGGCACTCTTCCAGTCATCTGATCCATCTAATAAGATAAATTAACATAGAGAATCTATTCCTTGTTTTTCTATTTTTAAAGTGACATAAAAAAGCGCTGTCTGAAAGACGTAAAACACACACGTTCTATCGCGTTACTTTTCTCTCGAATGCCAAAAACACCTTGACTTGACTGGTCACTCAAATTGTAGATTCCGTCAGGAGAAGAGAGACTGATTATATTTCAAAATGTCTAACATGCAAGTCGCCAAAAACCAATCTGGTGCTGTTTGTGTGGGTAAACGGGAAGAGGAAGAGGAGCTGACGGAGGAGACCACCTTGACTGAGGTAAATTATTTTTACTTTCGATTGGTTTTTGAAAAACACCAGATAAATGAGATATTATACTTTTTGGTATTTATATATTGTCTTCTATGTACTATTTTAATATTCTTTCCTAATTAACTTTAGACTCGGCACTTTTGGATATGTTAAGCAGCAGACTTAATCATGATGATCATAGGCAATTGAGATAATTATAGATAATTGAAAGAGAAGTAGATTAATATTAAAGTTATAGTATTTTTATTGAGTCATTTCAAGATTCAGGTAGTTTTTCAAAAAAAAAAATATGTGAGTTTTCGACTACAGGATCTCAAAATAAGTACAAATTTTTAGTTTTTCAATGTGGCTTAATGACTGAGATTCGTTGCCTTCAAGAAACTCATATGTGATTGGAATCAGATACTGTTCAAAATAATTACAATGGCGGCTTTAAGCTGGCTGCTAGATCTAATGTATATTTTCTACTATACAGTGGCTATGTGGTGGTCATGCATCTATAGCACCATAGCCTAGGTTTTATTAACATATAGGGGAAATGTGCCGAATATCGCACCCATTTGGAAATAGCTATATAAAACCGTTAATTACGATGGAACAAATGCGATTCTTGTTCAGTAAGTTTGGAAATTGTATGGTCTAAGTGAACACTGAATGTATTTCAATGAACTCCATCAAATATGTCTATGTACGAGCCCCTTCCCACTTTAGTTGGCCCACTTCAAGATTTGTACCAAAATATGCCTTTATAATCTAAACATCTATTTACTTCTAAAACAATTTATTTTCTTAAAAACATTTTAGATACACTCTAGTCGTAAAAAATACATATAACAAATAAAGAATGTGCGAATAAATGCGCGAAATTAACAAAGCAACAATTGAAAGATTACCATTGGGTAACATCACCTTTATTTTTTATTACGGCTGAAATTCTTTGGGGCATAGTGTTAACCAAGTTTTGGTAAAAATTTGGTGTAAAACAATTCCATATTTATTGAAGCTTTTGCCTTAGTTCGGTGATTGTACGAGCAGGGTGTTGTTGTAGAACCTTTTTCATCTCGTGCCACAAAGTTTCAGTAGGTGACAGATCTGGACTGCTAGAAACCCATTTCAAAAGTGGTACATTATTTTCTTCCATCCATTTAATAGCCTTTTTTGAGGTATGGCACGCTGCACCATCTTGCTGAAACACATAATCTTGGCCGGATGTCAAACATTCTTCCATCACTGGTAAAAGCGATTCTTCTAAAATTGACAAATATCTGTTTGTATCCACATTTCCATCAATAAAATGAAGTTTTCCTACTCCTTTGGATGACATATTGCCCCAGACCATAATGGATGCTGGAAATTTCACTTTTCTTTTCAGACAGTCAACATGGAATGCTTCATTTTTTTGCGAATAACTCTACTGCGACTGTCACCAACACAAACTTCGAATCGGGCCTCATCACTCCATTGTATTGCACACCATTGTTGAGGTGTCCATTGTCTATGTTCTTTAGCCCATCTAAGCCTATTTTTCTTTTGTAGTGGTGTTAATAGTGGCTTTTCTTTGGCCTATAAACAAGTTGTGCAACTTTAGGGTTTTTACTTCACTTTTCTTATAAGAAAACTTACCATGCAAGTGCTAAATCCCAGTTTGTGGGCCTCTGTATGAATTGTGGACCTCGAAATTCTCCTTCCAACAGCGTCACTCCACAGAGCACTTAATTGTAAGTAATTGGCACGCTTGTTTTTCACGATTATTCTTCTTAATGCTCTTCGGTCGGCATTTGTGATACTACCTTTTTCACATATCGTGGCTTAATATTAACTGAAGCAGTTAAGTTATATCTTCTAACAATATTTCTCACACTGTACCGCGATAAGTCTAACAAAGTTGCAATTTCTGAGTTTGATTTCCCAGAATTAAAAAATTTTATTATCAGTAACCGAATTTTCTCACTAATAACCTTTCCTCTACCCATTTTGAAAACCTTAACTACCCAAAACTACTTTAAACGTATTCTGACAGTTGTGATTAATAAAAACAATTGTCATGGCTTTTATTTTTCCCAGCCACCTATGCGTTATAGACTTATTTTGCATTGAAATGAAAATAGGTTGATATAGTGGATACCAAATAAAATCCGATGCACGTCATAGGTGATGTTATTCATAAAAATCATGGTTACCAACAGTTGACTACATTCAATGTGACATTTCTACTTGAAGTTTAAATTTCCCCGTCTCGATTCGGTTGGTAGTGCCGTGCAGAGAAATGTGAGGTTGCCACTTCTCATTTGTTGACATCAGTTGCCATTGTCCTTTTGTCGTACTATTAGTTCTTTATTGTTTAGTTTGTGAGTTTTGCGCTATTTGAGCTTTGAATCGTTGCCTTGCCAATTAAAAATTGTTCTTTTCAGAACAACAGTTACTGTGAAGTGGTGTAAAGTATCCAAAATGCCAAAACAACTTAACAGTCGGTGTAAAGAGCTCATATCATTGAATATCTACCAAAATCAGGTGTTTTTATTCAGAAAGGAATTTAATTTTACAAGTTTATTTATTTTTAATATAATGGTATTATAGTAAATGGTAGGTATACAGGGTGACTTTGAAGTTGAGTCATTAATTTTCAGATAATGATTGTAGAAGGAAGATAAACCAAAATATGTGTGTAAAAATAAAAAAAAAATTAAAAAAAAATTTTACCTTGTTTTATAAAGTATGCTCCCGACAAGTATTTCAGTGCGGACCTGTATTTGATCGTGAGGTCCCCTGTGAGGTCTTAAGTCACCTGATTCACGAGCCCGTTGTACTACATTAACAAAGGCACGAGGGGTTGGTTGCACTCGATTGGGAAACCGATCCGCATAAACATGTGCCATTTTTTATTTCACTATTCACACGCGACTGAAACTGACTGTATGTATAACTGAACTGAATTGTAATCGTAAAAACATCGTTCCAAATTCTTTCGCTTTTTTGTTTCCGATGCGATGAACCGTTGTTGCCAAACACGAACACATGATATTATTGAGACAGGGCGGTACTCAAACTTCCAAAGGGCTATAACTTTGTTACTTTAATTTTACCAGAAAAATGGTAAAGGAAAAAAACATTTCTTTTGATCAGATCTACACACTGTTAAAATAAATGACTCAACTTCGAAGTCACCCTGTATATAAACAATTTATTTTATTAAATTTATTTGCTTAAAAGAAAATGTGCAAATTCTGGCAACAGCGCACAGCTCCAGATCGATGACGTGCATCGGGTTTTATTTGGTATCCACTATATGCTGTAATTGCAACATGTGTTATTTTTATGCTGCAAATTTGATTAGGTAGTGATAAGGTTGGTGTTTTCTACTATATATTATCAAAATATTCATTGTTAATATTTTAAACCTATAACACCCTGCTACATTTCTATTATTTGTGTTTGATAAGAAAAAAACTAAGATTGCAATAGTTGGGCCAACTGAAGTGGGAAGGGGCTCGTAGTGACAGATCATTTCCAATGATGCTTTTCTTGTATTCAAAAAAATACCAGTGCGATATTAGGAATACTTTTTTTGTGGGATAGTGTAAGTGGAACAAAGTATGCGAAAACCATTTATTTGATTATCAGTCTAAATAAATACATAAAGCACTCTTCATGACACCAGACTCTACATTTGATACAAGCAATCCACTTTTCGCCCGCTCTGTCGCTCAGATAGGTTTCAGTACGGACCCTCGCAGTTATCTTCAATGTCTTCATCATCTGTGGAAACTGTTAAATCTCCGGCTATATCAATATCTGAGTCTGAAGAGGTTACTAATTACTTTGTTTTCTAGTCGTTTTTTCGACCCTTTTGACTTCATTGTACGGCTTTCACTTTCCTTTTCAGCTGGAGCTTCAATTTCTTGATTTTCGAAGCATTTCCTAGCCACATTTTTGACACATTCCCTTTGCAGCTCCTTTTCCATTTGTTTTTTTGGGCTTTGCTCAAGTCATTAGCCAGGCTATCCTCATAAGGTGAACTGGTCAGCAGAGTAGCTGTACTTGCTTTTCTGCCTCGGATATAGTTAATAGCCTTTGATGTAAAAGGCAAAGGGCTGATATATGTTGGTAAGACTAAATATCCCTCTAAATTGCCCGCGGCCAAGCTTAGTTCCAACTAATTTGTCAATGTCTTTGACTTTGCTATTGACTTTATCTTTTAAAGTCGACTTTGGGACTCCAGAATGATTTGATGCTCCAATGATGTCCACTAAAGGCTCAAATATGTAAAAAAAAAACATCAAGCTTTTCTATCTTAAATTCTTGACATTGAGGTTGTTTCTGGTCTCCGGAAGCTTAAATTATGAGCGGAGCCACTTCCATCCTGCAGACTGATCCTTTTCAGCGAACGGGTGTGGAAGGCCATTTCATTCTGCGAGAAGGAATGTCATCCTCTTGAGGTCTTTGGTTCTTAAGCTATAAAAAAATGCTTCTCCATTTCGACGCAATAAGAAATCAAAATATTTTCTAATTTGTCGCCCAAGATGGGCCTGCGGCCAAGCTTAGTTCCAACTAATTTGTCAATGTCTTTGACTTTGCTATTGACTTTATCTTTTAAAGTCGACTTTGGGACTCCAGAATGATTTGATGCTCGGAGCAGTCCCATCTCTTCAGTTGGAATTAACTTGATTTCAATCTTAGTCAATAGTTTCCATTTCCGTCAAGAATAGTAACTAGCCTTTTCAGTTGATCTGGATTTTATGAATCTGTAACATCGATCATCTTCTGGGCCGTACTGTCTGTTTTCTTTGACTTATTTCTTTGTTTTTATAGTAGAAATAAGTCGTCAATCTAAATGTTATGGCATACACAAGTTCAATGTCCGTCATGCTTGCCACTTAGAACACACTGACGCACCCGTAAACATGTGGATGGCGACATTTGCATCCTCAAAAAGAGCCAAACGTTTTTATAGGTTTGGAGTTTGTGGCAAGTGCTAAGCGTAGGGACGCGGCATGAAAATATACGTATATAATCGCTATCTTTCAAAATAGCGGAATGGCAGTCTGTCGAAGTTAAGCGTTTTTGTACATTGAATCGCTTATAACTCAACAACAAATCATCACAATGCTTCAGTTTAACAAGAAAGATTTCGTTTTTTTTAAATGGAGTGTTTTATATGTCATTACACATTTTAATTGACCCTTCCAAGAAAAGAAGATTGATATATCATATTTCATATGTGTACTATAGCATTTTTATCATTAGTTGTTGAGTTATTAAGTGATTCAATGTAGAAAAACGCTGCATTTGACAGCTTACCAGTTGGCGATTTTCAGTGATATGGATTTTATCTTTTGATATTATAAAGTACTCGCAGGAGCTTTAAAATGAAATGTCACACGATCCCCCATTCCATTAAGAAAATGCTCCGAAATGGCGTCCAGTCGCCATCTTAAAATTTTCAAAAAAGGGACCATCTGCCTTTCTCAAATAACTTTTGACAAATACTGCATAATCCAAAAAAACTTTGATTGAGAACAAATTATCTAGATCGATATCAGGGATAGACGAACCCTAATGCAGTATTGCTAATTATTGACACCCTGTAGATATAATAATTGCTTCAGAATATTTTTGGAAAACTTAACTGAAAAAACTATTTTTGTTTGATTTTCCGTTGTCAGTGAAATGTTTCGTTTCAGTTGATACGGTTCCGCAATTCTGAAAATACTGTGATTTTGATAAAATATTCGTAATCGACGGCGCGAAACCCTCACGTTGTAAATTTCCAGACAATTTAAGAAGTTTTAGGCTATTGTCCAAGCTGTTGTAATTGGCTACAGTGTGATACGATAAGGGCAGTACCGGAACAAAAAAAAACGATTCATGTTATCAACCAAGAATACATTTTATTAGCTATCTACAATACTATCTTCAAGGCATCACTGTACAGGGTGTACAATATTGCGTCACTCCATCCATGGCCATCCAAATGAACTCATTCTTTTTCATGGACATCAGGGGGCACGATCATCGGAGATAACTTTTTCTGAAAGTGTACCTGCCCCAAAAACTGTTTGAAGGGCAGGGGTCGGGTAGCAAATTTTCTCATAGTCGTCAAAATCCTAAAAATCCACAAAATTCGTCCATTGAATGTTTTGGAAACATCATGTTTTCAAAGATAACCTTCTTATATTCCATATCTTTTCTGCACAGTCCCGCAAAGACCTCGGGCATACGAAAATCCACGAAAAGAAAGCAGAGTTTGAGAGTGAAGAAAAGAAATCTCTTGTGGAAGAAAACAGAAGCCAGCAGTCTCAAGCTAATAGAAGCGTCGTCCAATCCGAGAAAACAGAGATATCTTCGAATAGGAAAGTCATGACGTCAAGCTTCCAGACATCTCAAAGTTATGAAATGGAAGAGACAGAGGAATATGAAATCGAAGGATAAACTTAACATGCAGTACTCATTATGTGATTATTTTTAAGATATTTGATATAAACATAAGACTTAAAAAATTACTTATCTGCCTTTATTTATTTATTTTTGTGTAATAATTAGAAACTAGTCGAAGCTTAACATGTTTTGGAGAAATCGTACTTTATTATGAATTAAAAGTAAAGGATGTAAGTGACAAGAGTGCTGTAAAACAGAAAAAAATGGTTACGTCGAGATTCAAATCAATTTTGTGTTTATATTTGTAATTTGCTCAGAAATGTATTTTTGAATCTGTTTTTATGCTCGATTTAAATTGTTTATAATTGAGAAAGTTATAGTGGTAAGTATAATTATAGTCAGTCTGCTGGGTAACTCAGAGTAGTTTAGATAGAGCAAGTATAGTTACGTTTGAAGTTAGAAAATAACGGATCGTACGCTACTCATCTAGGCGCTATCGCAGTATAGGTATTTTCACGTTTTTTGTCGGTTACATCACAATGCCATACCAAATACGTAAACTGATTGATAAATGGTAAAATTGCGTGGTTTAACCTCGCTTAGGAAAATTGCGCACTGTGTAAGCAGCTGCTACTTGCTCTGGCACACACACACACACATAAATTGGGTGATAGAGGATCACTGTTTTCACGCTTTTCCTTAAGATAGGGCTAATGCAAACTGTCGACATTGTAGTTCTATCTTTAGGCAGCACTGCGTTTTATATCGACAATCAACAGGACAACAAGGAGCCTAGTCAGTCGTGCTTTGACAGGGTTGCCATGTTGGAGGATTTTTACTAGGGGATGTGTTCTGGGGAGATATCACACGTTTGCGGATAGAAAGCATCCCCCCTATCTTTGAACCAAACCTACCACTTTCCATTAATTAACTGTGATTTGTTTTTTTTCGAGAAAGCAATTCTGAGGGATTTTTGTGCTTGTTCTGGGGAAAGTCTGTATGAGCCATCTGACAACTTTATGGTTTGTTCAATGTTTGGAAATCCTGCTATTCGTTAATATTAAATTTTAGATAAATGAATTTAAGCAACGGTCCTATATCACCTAATTCATGTGTATGCAACAAATGCATTAAGGGTCGGCTTGTGGAATGTACATTTTCCCTTAGGGAAGTTAAGCTACGCAATGGTACAATAAGTCAATGTGTCTACTTATTTCGTATGACTCTGTGACCTAGCCACCCAAAAACGCAGAAAATACATATATGCGAGCGTGAATCTCACGTGACCCTCGGTACATCACACCACTATCTCCCAATTTGGAACTAGATGGAATTCAGCAGAACAACCTTTGTTGTGTTTCATATAAAAACCAATATATCACGTTGAACTTCGGCATAAGGTGCGTTATTCTATTAACTACCATTTCATTGCTGATTACTAACCTGAATCATCGTATTAACGTGAGAAAATCATCAGGAGCCTAGTAAATTGACGATGAATCGGAGGTTGTCTCTGAAGACCGGGAAAGTCTGATCCATTAGATGTTGCTTGCCAAAAGCGACACATTTAGTTGAATCAAACAAGAGTAGATATACACCTTTTTACCTACATGATCAGCTTTTCCATAAATATAATCATGCATCCATTATTACAAAAGGTTTCAAAAGAAATCCAGCAATATTGCATACTGTGGTTGGTTGTCATGTTTTCAAACATACCACACAAATTTCCAGTGGTATCGTTTGGGGGCTTTGACTTCCGTAGAAGAGCTCCTCAGGATTTGAGGTTATGAGCAATTTCATAAATGACTTTTTCCAGGTTTCAGCAACACGTATAGCTTCAAAACGATTTTAAAAAAAGTGTACAACTTGTGCAAAGTTGACATCTCGTAGAAAAACCTACGTTATGTCACAAAAAACCTACGAAATGTAAAAAAACGACAAAATGTCACTTTTCAAGATGCGTAATACCCGTGCCGGAAATATTTGGACCTTTGTCAGGACTGGGTTGACCGTACATGACATATATTTCACCATAGAGACCACGCCTATTTTGCATTAGCTGTCCGATGTTGATTCCCTTTTTGTTCAGTTACTCTCGCTCCCACTATGGCACTTCGCTCCCGGTGAATACGGTACCGATTTTGCTGTTCAAATAAATTAACGTCGTACGATGTTGCCACAATGTTGCCTAGCTACCCATCAAACTGATCTGTTCCACTGTAAATGACCGTTCGGCAGGATTATTATGTAACTTGAAAAGTGACGACGTTATGTCGATCTTTTTACCTTATGTAGGTTTTTTATGACATTATATAGGTTTTCCCATAAGATGTCAACTAGGAACTAGCTGTTGTTCACTTTCATGTTCACTTGTAGCAAGCGCGGAATGAACTATTTGCACACTACCGGCCATCATCAAACTTAATTTTTTTTGTCATTATATAGTTTGTTTACGTAATAACCCTGCGGAGCTGCTAGAAATTCATTGTTGGGTAATATGGAAGGGATTTGAGAGAATATGGAAAAAAACGCGCAATAAATGTTATCGGTTTGCGTAAAATATTAGAAAACGAATGTGGACGATGAAAGAGTTTTTATAACCACTAAAATGAACCGTGTTAGTTTGGCAGTACCAGTACTGTCTCTTAAGTCATATCAGGTTGCTTATTTTTTGGATTCTGACGTGAAGCTACTCCAAAATTTTAAAACCTTGTTAATTTTTTTATAGAGAAGTTTCGGTAATATGTGTCCAAACCGGATAGAAAGATAGAAGCACAGTATTTTAACAAATATGTTTTCATTACTTGCAATTACTTTATTCAAGCTCATCCAGCTTTAAAAACTCCGGCAACAGCGCTGAATAAGGAAAATATCTTACGAAATAAGCCATCCCTTATTCTTCGTTACCATCGTAGTAAAGGAGCAAGGAGCTTTCTTATTTCGATAACGGTTAACCGAGGATTGTCTCGCTACTGCGCAAAAGTATTATAATAAATAACACCATGAAGGAAAGTTTATTCAGAAATAGGTCTGTATTTCCTTAACTAAAATCACAAAATAGAATTTTCCAAACAAACAAATACTATTGATTTTTATTATGTATTGAGATCTGAATGATTGATGATCGTCGTATCGAAGCACTGGTAGTTCGGAAAAGGGCAAAATCATGGAAAGAAGGCATTGTTTCTTTCTACGGAGCGTTGATGGTATCTTCTCAATATTCAGCAGCATAAATTAACTTTAATCAACGAAAACAAATAGATAAATATAAAAACGAAAACGTACCCCTGAAAACAATTTTGGGAGCATCCCGTCTATCTCTCGTACTTACCACAGCACTCGCTCACGTGCAATGCAAAAGTACCTGCACATGCACTAAACATCTGATCAAACGGTCACTACAATTGTTTTCATCCAGAAAAAGATATTTCGAAAAAACAACCGTGTCCCCGCGTCTTCCAATCGAACATTCCTATACATATAAAAAACCGGTGAGTACTGAGAATGTGAGAATTTACCAATTGCCACTTCTTTATCCATTTGTTTTGCCGCTATTTCTTCTGATCTATGGTGACAAGTGATGTATGCGGCATAGAACTAAACAGATGTTCCAGGTTAGAACAAAGGGTTTCATAATAACATTTGAACTAATACATCTAAAGGTGGACATACACTTGACAAAATTTTGCTCGGAGATTATAAGTACCGATAAGGGAAAGAGCAGCGGATCACCTTGTACGCCACAGTGCAAACCTGGAATCGCTTTGAATACGGCGGGATATGCGGGCACCACCTCTGTCAGTTTAAACGCACGACTCGCCAGCAGTAGCGTGCGATATGTGTTTTGCTGCTATCTTTCTTTTCGGCGCCACAGTATAACTGAACTCGATCAGCTGATTGGATGATGCCAGGATTATATGGTTTATTTATCTTTTAGGTTTGCGGCCTCGCCTCGTAAATAGAATAGATATATAGATATATAGTATCCCGTTTCCAACCAAACCCACGAGTTCAAAGCGCGCACGCAGCGAAGAAAAGCGGTTCATCGCGCCCTTCCACCTTCCTCCTCTCCGACTCCTGGCCTACACACTCTCATTCCTTATCGTGCTACCCGGTTAACACATTAACACCGCACTCGGGTTTGCGCATCGATTTTTACGTTTTCAGCAGTGTCGAGGTGCCTAACGTTAGACACGACAAAGGAACTGCTCATACAGGAATCGCTAAATTACGTAAATATTAGAAACTGGACCGAAGGTGGGCCGATAGATGTGCATTGTCGGCGAGACGTTGACGGAAGGTCACCTTCAAGGTTCCTTTCGTCGCGGAGCAGAATTAGAAAGTGGCGTGCAGGCCTCATTTTCTGAAGGGGCGTCACCATCTGGTAATAGTCGACTAACCGATCTGTGTTAGGTGCAATTTTATGAAGTTAGGTGAATCTTAGTATGGATGTCTCACCGGCGTTGCAGACTGTGCCTGACACGACGTTTGGGATAACGGTCTGACACTGGGATATTGCTTGTTGATGACTGAACATGTTACTTGGGATAGCAACCTGAATCTAGCTTGTGATAGACAACTCCCGTACCAAGGGCGCACAAAGACGATTAGGATAACGCTGAAACATTGGACTCGGTTGTTAGGGATAGCAACGTGGACCTGGCTTGTGACAGTCAGCTCCACACCAAAGACTACCGGCCAAGACGTTTGGGATAACGACTCAGCGCTGAAGTCCGGCGTTTGTAATGGTAACTTGTACTTATTGTACTTAGCTTGTGATGGTGATCCTACGATAAATATAACAACACTGAAAGCGTGTGGGACAACGTAGGGACAAAAAATCTCTTCTCATTTGCTTGTGATAGCAAATTTCACCTGGTTTGTGATAACCATGGAACAGGACTGTAAGTTTGAACATGACAGGTTAGGAAGTCGTCAAGGTACATCTTTTTCTTATTAGATTACCAGATAGAGATTAGGAACCTTATGCGAGGTTAGCGTTACATTTTGCTTGTGATAGCAAATTCGATCTGGTTTGTGATAACCTTGGAACAGGATTGAAAGAATGCACATGACAGTCTAGGAAACCGTCGGAGTACCATTTTTCAATAACAGAAAGAGATTAGATTTCATCTATGCGAGACTAGTGTTACATTTTGCTTGAGATAGCAAATTCCATTTGGTTTGTAATAGCCATCGAACAGGTCAATAATATGAACATGACAGGTTACGAAACCGCCGGAGTAATATTTTTCATTAGGTTTGGTTAGGTTAGGTTTCTTGTGAGTGCATCAATAACGATCCTCTACTGCGACTCTTTGGTTTACTGTGGCTCACACCCATTTATATTTTCCCCAGTAGCTTCGACCTCCTGAAGAAGTCGATTAACTTGTTTGGAGAAATATCCTTAATGTCTTCTGCTTGGAGTACTACGTCTCCAAGTATGTTGTACCTGATTCTGGCAATTGCAGGGCATTTGTACAATACATGCCTGGCCGTTTTTTCTCCCTCCATGCACAGTCTGCACTCAGCGTCTTCCGCCATGCCCAGCCTGCTAATGTGGTGACGCAATTTGCAATGACCAGTGTACAGTCCTACTAGAGCTTTAAGGCTATTCCTGTTCAGCAGTAGCAAAGAATCTGTTACCTTCTTTGTCAAGATTGGTATAGTTGCCTGATCATCCCTCCCAGTATTGATGGATCTTTCTGTCCATCTCTGCAGAGATTATTTGTTTAGCCGTATTGTATGCGATCCCAATCGCTGGCTCAGGCCCTATAAGGGTGTGCTAGCCCCTCTCTTTGCCAGAGTGTCAGCTGTCTCGTTTCCCTCTAGACCTGTTTGTCCTGGTATCCAGATGATATTTTTAATTAATAACATATAGAAATTAGGAACATCTATGGTAGACTAGCGTTACATTTTGCTTGTGGTAGCGCAAATTCCACCTGGTTGGTGATAAATATGGAACAGGGCTGTACGTATGAGCATGACAGGTTAGGAAACCAGCAAAGCACTAATTTTTAGTAATAACGGAGATTAGGTACCACTATGCCCGATTAACGTTACATAGGTGGCACTCGAACAGCAGAACACTCTGGATTATGATGTCTTGAAGGTCATGTATTGTTTCAATAGATGACGCATCACCATGAAGATGCTGCGACTTTAGTGTAATGTTCACGCATTGTTCCAGCGCTGACATTTCGAGGGCAGGTCTTGTTGTTGACGATAGATGAATAAATTCTGTTCTATTCTAGCCACCTACGGTGGACCCTGAGGTAGCTGCCGCTATAATAGAAAGTATCGCACACAGGGATGCGCACTTGGTCTCTGTCCAGTAACACGTGAGTTGTTCATCAACTGCAAGTGGCAATACTCTCTTCTCTAAGGTCAAAGAATGGGGGTGGGGCGCATGCCGGCAGATATTCACATTTAAGCAAATCATTCAGGAGTACTCTCTTCCATTGATAATTTGCTCTTCGGAGTAAGTCTTATCAAGTAAGCCAATTATAAATAGAAATCAGATAAATATGAGCAGCAACTCAAGGCCAAAAGGCCGTACAACGTACTGACAACATCAGTCATCACCGATTATTGCAGAAGAGGTACGTATGTATATCAGCAGGCAGATTGATGAGTATTCATCATCAATGGCAGAACTTTATTAGGAGTGGCGCTTAAGGCGGCTCCGACGCAGTGAGTTTCAGGCCATTTACAAGGGTTTAGCTGCTTCGGAATTGACGCTCCATTTTTCTATATATTTGAATAAAATTTATACAGTATGTTCAGAAGACAATTGTCCAGGCTGCTATAGAGCCACTTTTCTAAAAAAAATTTTTTTCAGGAGTTATGGTGGGTGGAGTGCAGATAATTGCTGTTCGACTTCTCGATTTTTTTAAAAATAACCCAGAGGAAAAAACGAAAAAGTGGCTCTATAGCACCCTGTGGAGTCTTGTTTTTAGTGCACTGTGAAAATTTCATTGAAAAATATTCAAAAATGATGCGTCAATTTTGAAGCGCGGAAACCTCTGCAAATAGGCTTTTACACGAATTTTATCCACTATCTCGTGCTGCCAGTCGAAGCAACGCGGCGGTGTGTACGGAGTACGGACTAAGAAAGGACGTATTCAGATATGTAATTTGTTGCCCCAAGTTAAACAGTAGCAGTTTTGACGTCGGTCGTTCGAGATAAACATCGGACCAGTAAGTGACATTTTTCATAGACTTCAATGAAAGAGGGGAAATTTTTAATCGATTTTGATCATTTCTTTTTATACAATAGGCCATGCTTCAGAGGTGATACCACAAAAAATCATTTTTGTTCAATCACCCCAATATGGATATCAAATGGAAGCACTTGTACAAAACAGTAATACGAAAACAGTTTCAAATCAAGATGGCGGCCGTCACAAAATGGCGGATAACATACTTGCTAATATCTCAAATAAGAGTCGTCGCCTTGTAGAATACAATACTTCACTACAAATTTGATTCCAAGATTGCCGCCGTTTCGAAATTGCGAGTAACATATTTTTGTACAAAACCCCCAATTTACATATCAAATGAAAAGACTTGACATGTGTGGTAAAATACAGAACTTTGTGACCAAAAGTTTCCAGGTGGTTCTAGGGTCATTGGAGGCGGTAATCTTTTTAGTTAAAAATAATACCTAATTATAGTGAACGCATTTAACACAAATAAAATGTCACGTGCTGTTTAGCTTTAACCTTATGAAGTATCGTAAAATAAACTTAACACGATAAGCGTCATGAGATGAGATATAATGCGTGTGTCGCACCTCATTTGGCGCTTTGGCTCTCGTGACACACATGATATGTCTCACTGCTGGCAGTTATATTTGGCCGCGTAACGTAAGACGTGTGCCATGCTGATGTGATTTTCTTACGGGAACCAAGAGTCCGTGGCCTGAGGGACCAAATTCTACTGAATTGGAAATGAAAACATTAAAAAACACGTTGTTTATAGAGTTTTACAAAAAGAGGATATTCTACAAATCTAAAACAAAAAGCAAATCTTATAAAATAATCAGACATTCTCATTCAAAAATGAACAAAGTAATTTCACAGCAAATCAGTAAGTTATGATAAATGTCGATATTCTAACCAACACAAATATGGAGGAACTCTTATAAACTAAACAGATTGACAAAGTCTTATGCATGAATAAACAAGTCCTGAGTTGGATTCGAGTGGTCACCTGCCATTCACATGGCGACCGATTCAGCACTCTGCCATTGCTGAATCTCATTAGTCCATCTATAAACTGCCGACCTTCGAAACAACAGTATCTCAATTGCTTAGCTGCGGTGCTATCAGTAAAAAAGTTGAGCTCACTAAAAATCAGCGACTTTCCTACGTTTGATTCCTTACCTCAAGAAACTTAATCTGTTTATAGGGGTATAACACTCAAGCTAGAAGGCTATCGAACTGGGCTCAGACTTCTCCGTTGAGATACCTTCTTAACGAATCTGGATTTGGGATATGCACAGATTTTGGTACCCATCAGGGTCAATCATAGAATATATTTTTATTTCAGATTCATATTCAAGGGATAGCTATTCCAATACAATGCTCTGCCGTTGTAAATTGTGCCCCTCATGTGTTCACAAAGTTAATAAAACCATTTCTGGCATACCTTAAAAAAAAAATATTTCTGTTTGTATTTCCTTTTGTTTGGTTATACTGATATAGATTGCCTGAATAGTATTAGGGCAACAGTGTCTCTTTTTTTAATCAATTACAAAAAAAGCTACTTGATCTTCAGTCAAAATTGGGCTCCTTTAGGCCTAGTATACATTTGTGACAGAAAGGAAGTATCTTTACTTGAGCGGAAGACGTAGACATTACTAAATGTAGTAAGGGCAATAATGAATATCATCCAAGACAGAGTCTCGAGACTTTGCGGTAAGCATCGGGATCTTGGTGTGGTGGCTTATCTTGCATTTCGTTACATCAGACTATACACTAACGAGTGAAATTTCTTGATCTGTAACATTTTCAAGGAAATTTTAACGCTACTGTGCCACTAACATCTGCACCTAAGGTCTACCTCGGCTGCTGCTCAACGAAACTGGTAGATGTGGTCAGCGGTATTGAATCGTCCAATTTTCAGTTGTATAATTCCTCGGGCTGGGACATTCGCTGGGTAGGACAAAAGTGTCATGGTTCTTATTCACCCGAGATCATCTGGAACTACTGACAGTGTCATCGACCAGTGCCAATAACAGAACAAAAAAAAACTGCTGACAGTTTTCTTCGGTCGTGAATGCTTTGCTCCCGACTTGAGGGGCTATCGAATATTATACACCACTGATAATGTGACAACTATATCCTACATTAATAGGATGGGGAGCGTCAAATTTAAGATCTAGGAGTAATACTGATACAGATGGTTTTGCGTCAGTGGGACGTGCAAACGGAGTAGGAGCTACACCTGTTACCGTCCTGATTTTGGTTCATGTGTTCGGTGTCCCTGAAATTTCGTTCCTAGAAGTAAAGCAAATATCTGATGGTGGGACCCAGGACCCCATTCCCATTAATTCTGAGGCTTACCCTGGTTGTCGTCCCTGGAAAACTGTTATTCCGATCACCATCTACAATCCACCATATTATTGTAGGCTTAGATTACGATAGGAACTTTGTGGGGAAGAAATACGTGTCTGTTTTTCTACCTTGAAATCTTTCACCTTACAGTTTGATAAGAGATTAAATATACAAATATTTGTTTGATTTGCTATAAGTCAGCTATCAGTCTTTCACACAGAATGGTGCTAATGATGCAGGCATAAGATGGTTTTGGAAGAGCGTTTACAGGTTGAAGCCATTTCAACCGAAATACAGCCCCACTTGAAATACTGTGGTTGTTCTCAACTAACCAGAGGGGTTGCTGGTGACCTCTGCAGATATTTGGATGAGGAAATCAATAACACTGCTAGCCCTAGCCTCAGGTCAGAGTGTGTAAACTCTGCCCCCAATTGAAACAGACAACATCCGGATCGAGTTGAACAATATTGAAATTGGAATTTCTCAGTTTTTGAAAGCCTCGGCACCACTCTTGTGGCAACCACTTTTAGTTTTAACGTATTTTACGCCCAAATATCTGTGCTGCCAAAGTATTTATTTGTCATTGTCAAGAAACTTTATCATGGTGCCTCTGTTCCCACGATATGTGGATGGATAAAGCTATAGAGTGGTCTAGGTGTGTCACAATTGACAGCCCACAGTGCATGAAACACGTTTACCTCTGCGCCGGCTAAAGTATAGTAGGCTCAGACTCGCGGCGGGCAGGAGCGCGTGTTCTGAGACACCTCTGAGGGCCTCGTCGAAAAAGCTCCCTCGCTCACTATGTATCACCCAATTATTGCAACAACTTGGCTTTGAAGAAAATGAGCGTTTGTAGGCCAGGAAGGGCGCTTTTCTTCGCTGTATGCGTGCTTTGAACTCGTAGGTTTGGTTGGAAACGGGGTACTACATGTCTATATCTATTCTATTTACTTCGACGATCATGTAAATATTTCAATCTTTGATTTTTTAACAGAATTGATAATCTACAATTTTGTTATTGCACGTTACGCTTACCAGTAAGAGGTGCTTCTTAAATGCGAATTATTTGTGTGGCACTCGAACAATTTTTCAATTCATATTCACTATTTATATATTTTATCTGAATTAATCATCAAGGATGTCAGACTGGTGGGAGATCTAGCCACAGTGGCGGATCTAGGAAGCTGTCCACAGGGAGGGATCGAGGCGCAGTGGTGGTCACAGGATTTAGGTTTGCCAAGCTTCTGTTGGCTATTGAAGAGTTGAGTGATCTGCAATAACTCAATAAAGTTTTCCAAATTTTACCCCTCAAAAAACTGTCACAAGGTTGTAAAATATACATAAAAGCAAAGTCTAGGAATGATCTGAAGCAGTCTCGTCTTTTGCTCATAATACTACTATGATGCCGCATAAGTAAAACTTGTTACTTGGAATTATAAATTCCATACTCAGTCAATACGTATTTTATTCGAAGTAGGCGTCGTTTTTTCTTGTGTGAAAAATCTTCAAATTAAATTTTACATTCCACTTCACTACATTGAAGGCCACGGTACACAGTACCCCAAGGCCTTCATGGCAGCTGAAGTATTAAAAAAGCACTCAGCAAGCTACGCCAATGCAAGAAAGGTTCACAATTGGCGTACAAAAGATTGACATCTAGGGTTATATGTAAATGAAAGATGCTTCCAGCTTGGTGTAATATTTTATTACTTTTATGACATATGTGAAAATAATAAACAAATAAGTATTCCAACATATTTTCAATGAAATTTACATAGGGGTACCTAGACGAAAAATGATAAAAAGGGCTGTCAAAATAAAATGGACACAAAAGAATACATTAAATAATATTAATACTTGAGAAGCAACACTTACGAATACTTTTTAACAATACTCTATGATAAATAAACAAAACAGATCGACTCGGTGTTGCTAAAATATTTTAACTTTGGCTTGGAGCATTGAAAAAACTGGCAAACGGACCGTTCAGACGAAACGGCGAACGTTTCGCTCATCGGGAAAGAACAAAAAAGAGAGAAGCAGAATTACTAATAAATAGGTTACATTGAAATATACAAAGCTTGTTTCCACGAGATAGTTCCATGACACTACAGTGGTAAATAATAGTTAAATAAATAATGCAAGTAGGTGTTACAATTGGACAATATCATACCGACAGTTTGAAACAAATCAAGGTTAGTGTTTCCATTTTAATTTGTTAAAATTCAGGAAAGATCTAATAAATATGAAGAATGTTTTAATCAAATACGATTTGCTTTTTCGTTGTATCGCATATTTTCCTCAATTTGTTGTTATTCATGATTATTTCAACCTCCAAGAAATAACTCGGTGCAAGGAATTTTAGTAAAAGATTTCATGTAAAATAGCTTTCGGCTGGATGTCTGTAATTGTTTATAAAGTGAAAATAGTATGGAAATATCGACTGTCACATGGAGACAAACCTTAACGGAGGCCGCTTCGCCATTACTTTACACTTTTTAACATTAAACAATAAATTAGGAACCAAGTGCTTATAAATATCATTTATTAAGTTGCTTTTTTATTACCAATAGTAAGGAAAAAATACCAAGATGTACTGGAATAATTAGAAAATATTTACATTTATACATTAACTAGCACCAGCTAGCAAAAATATCGTTTATTCATACACTTCGGTATAAAAAAGATTTTTTGGTAGTGGCACAAGTTAGATCGCGTGAAAAAATAACAACAATATAACAAAATGTCGGCGAGGCTCTTTCTAACAAATACACCTAGGAATGTTCGACACAAATAGTTATGTAAAAACTGACAAATTTCTTCGTTTTAAAATCCCTTCAATTCGCAAGCATTTTCTAGAATATACATGAATTATACAAATTTCCATATTAAAATACCTCCGGAGAGGTACATATTTACAAGGGGAGAAGGAAAAATGTTTAAATAATATATTTAAATTCAGACTTATTATACTCAGACTTGCAAACTTACAAATCAACACTGTTTACTATACAACCCAAAATCCAATAGTCACAACCGAGAAAGTACCCACAGAAGATACAAAATTACGAGATATCTTCACATAAGAAAATAATCGACTAAGATCAAATCAACTGGAGAAATAGATTTACAGGTAAGTGAAGGATTCAGCTCTACTTTCTTAAAAAGACGCATTACAGACTACAGTGTCACAAAATATATATCCACAACAACAAAGGAACCTAACACACAACAGAACATAAGTATTATGGAAATAGTTTGGAGACAAATCTTCGCTAAAAAATATGGGGAAGATCAACATGTTTTGATTGTTGAGATGTATGAGAAAGTTATTACAGCAAATTTTTCACATGAGGAGAAACAGACAATTTCACTGAAGACATGAAAGTAACACTTAGCAAATTTATATCCCGATTAAAGAACCAACAAGGTTATGACTACCGTCATTTGGAGTAGTGATGCACCGAGTGTACTCGGTTTGTACCTGGAACTCGGCATATTCGGTGCATTTTACCGAGTATCCGGTCTCGCGGAGTATTAAATTACTCATACACAAATGTGTCCCAGCATATATGCCTTTTACCCGACCCATCTGAATTTTTTTCCAAAAATTAACGAACAATTTAAAAATAAAGGCTACAGCACATTTTTGCCAGAATCAGTTGCTTGATTTGGACGATTTTTTGGTCGATGTAGACAATCTTCGTCTTCTCCAGTAAGCTAGTGTGTTTACGGTATTTCTACAGTTTTTCTTTTTATATACAAGGTGTGGCTGTTTACACCTAAACCACATTGCTGCCTGGTCAAAATAAACAAATCGCAGCAAAATTAGAAATGTAAGATAATTTACAAGTTTTCCAAATTTGAATTGGTTCTGTCATGACATTAAGTAGTTTTAACGTGAGTTTCTTCGTGATGACCATGGTATGACAGGTATTTTCGAAATTTGGGCTGCATGGGGCCGGACGTCACCTACCTTTGAATTTAAGGCATCCATTTACGACTGAGTGTTCCGTTCCATAAGTCTGAACTTACACTGAAAATTACCTACCTATCATGTTAATATTGTTGTAAAAATGAGATGATTTTTGGAATAGAAAAGATTGAAGTGTATCACAAATAAAATGTTTCAATAATGTAATGTTAAATTATATCAAAATTGCAGCTGCTGGATTGCACAGTGATTTAAATACTTAAATAACAAAATACAAAATTACCGTAAATACACTAACCTATACCGTTTCACTCACAAAAAAGTACCAGTTGCGTAGCTCCTCTTTGTGTAGTGCGTTAGTTTCTTGCAATAGTAAATCAATTTGGAGAACAACAATTCAAATACAATATCACTGATACTAATTAAATTGAGTACCCGGTACTCGGATCTAGTCGAATACCCGGTGTTCGGCCTGTTTAATGAAAGTTCTTACTCGGTGCATCCCTAATTTGGAGCATCACTCACAGTATTTTTCCTACGAGAATGTTACAGTCATCGCTATCTTGGAGTACTTTTGACAATGACGACCACTTACAGATCAATTGTTTTTAAATTCCATATCAATAAGAACAGGCGATGCCATGTGGTCACTGCTTTTCTAGAACATCATAGAATAAATAACTGCGCTATCGACGTGGTAACCAATAAAACAACACGAAAAAATGCTCTACTTCTATTGTTTCGTGTTTTCGTATGCAATAATCAATTTTCCTAACGAATAAAACTGACTGATTATAGTAATTTACTTTTTATTGTCAATGGTTAAGGTGTCGTATAGCACAATGACTGTCCGACATATTTTCAAAAAGAAATATGCGATGTACATAGCACCGCCTAGACAGAGTAGTTGTACAAAAAAAGGCCCTGTAACATCACCTATTTCTGAATTAAAGTATTTACAGGAAAAAATGGACACACCACAAGCCAAGTGCGAAGGAAAACATCTTGGAGTTATTCACATTGAAGCTGAGTTATAGTACGTAATACTGAAGTAGATACTAGGAAACATTAAATAATCTAATAACAAAATCTCAAAGATGATTTCATTCACGAACGTACTTTTCTACAGTCATTTTTCAGATTACATCACATAATAAATTATTTTACAAAAAAATTCATGAAATAATTGTAGAAATCAACCACAATCAACCAAACAATTGCCGCTTACGATACGACCATTCTTATGCGACTTTAAGGCGACCATACACACAAAATATTTGCAAAAATCGGGACCATGGAGTTTGACGCTAAAATTGCTTACTCAGCGGAATTGTAGGGCATCCTGGCCTTTATTAGGAGATCAAGAAGGTTCGACAGATTAGTGAACTAATACATGGAGTGAAGTGTTGGTACATTCGGGGACGGGAAAACGGCCAAAGGTCGCCTACTTGTATGACTTCGCCTCTCTCAACTCAACTACTACTTTTACTAGACCTGGGTAAGAATGCTCACATCCTAAGCAACAAATATACTATTTCAAACGTAGTATGACTTGTACAAAATCTCATATTTCTGTGATGTATGTTGCAGAAATCGGATCAAACTACAGGTCTTAACTATAATTTTGTCGCCATTGTCAATTACCGCTGCAGAAAATATATTTATATATATATTACGAATAAAAATACAGTAGTAACTGATTAGAAAGAAGTCTAACACAGATACTGTAGAAAGAAAATAAATAAAATATTATTAATGTTAATTAACATTACCAATTTTTTATTATGGATTTTTGTGTCAAGTACGTTCGACAGATCATAGAGCTGTACTAGTGCATACAAATTGCTGCATATAAATACACACTTCAATAATAATAGTACTAATAATATAATTCTATTATTATTATAGTGTTTTTAGTAAGCTCGTAACGTTTAATTGACAAAGCCCTCTAGAGGTTTATGAAGGGTGCTACATTTTTTAACAAACCCAAATATTTCGCACAAAAAGCATTTTTTAAATAGTTTATTGCAATGTCTTATAACACTTACATTAAAAAAATATATACAAGCTTATTGATTACAATTATTTATTTTTGACGGATGCAAGCTCGAATCATTATTATTTGTTAATAATAAAGAAATAAACAGATTCTGTTATCCAGCTGCCACCTAATGGGAGTTGCCAATACTATAAACAGATCAGTTATATCTCGATCAGACAACTACAGCAATAAGTAATAATTATTTGAAAATTTAAAAAACAAGGTGTAAGTCACGCGTTACAAATTCATAAATTTACATACCAAAAGTTGTTACTGTATCAATCTCCAAATTACATAATTCAATATGTAATCGAGAATGTTGATAAGTTAATATCACCAGTAGAAACTTCTATATATTTCGGTACACATGTCATAGAAAACACACGAGTCACTTTAGGTTAGAGTATTTGTCGCAAAATTGACCATTTCATGAAATGATCCATCCAGCATTTAATTTAACGGTCAATTCTACGATATGGCTACGAGCAGCAAAGGCACTTGTAGCTGCACAGAAACGGGCCATTTTTTTTCTAAATAACAGATGAAATATCCAAGAAATAATTTTAGGATAGATGCAAAAGATGAAATATCGAATTTTCAGACGACTGATAGTGAACAACAATCACTATTTGTTTTTCACTGTGTGTAGTATAGCACGTAAAAGTACAATTATCAGATTACAATGCGTACAGGTTCTGCAAACATCGAAAAGCTTTCAACTCGAGAATTATCTATTTTTTCAAATTTGATAACACAGTATGATGTTTTTTAGTTGGCAATGAATGCTTAGACAGAAAGCAGACTCATTGTAACTTTGATGACGAACTTTTACAGAACTTCACATACTACGATTTAGTTATTATACCGCGAAATTTCAATATTACGGGCTTAAGTAAGAAAAGTATTACGATTAAGCTTAAAAAAATGCCATTTGGATAATTTGGAAACGTAATTTGATGCAATATGACTATTACGTACAGCAACTTTCCTTTCCAAAAGTATAAATAATAACGGATGTAAAGGGATTAGTTACATTACCAAGTACAATTGATACAAATTGGCTCCATCAATTCATTTTTTGTTTTTTTGTATTTTTTTATGCTTTTTTCCATTTTTTATTTTTTTTTGATTTTCTTGAGTTTTTTCCTGGTTTATAATGTTTCCGTGTACGAGTTAATGAAACACAAACTGTATCTATTAGTACCTTTTAATGTATACAGATTAATGCAATTTGTTTCTGGGATCAAATTACCTTGAGGAATAATGTTTTTAAGAACACATTATTAATTTATGAAACAAAAATAATTAATATATTTGGTAAATGATAAATATATCAGGGGGCTGAAAGTCTATAGTCAAATTTGTAAGTATTCTATACAAGAATTTCACATAAACTGCGAAACGTTTAGTATAGCTATAAAAAAGTTTTTGTACACTTGGTCGAAAAAAGAAACGTGTTTCTTAAGTAATTCTGAGTAATTCAAATGACCCGAAAATGAAGAGGTTATATGAGTTATGTCTTGTCGACATAAGGAATATTTTTGATTACTAGACAATTGAATCAATGAGGATTGAACAATATTAGTATAAGTTTCAAAACTTAAGTGGTTACCATACACTATTTTGTAAGCATCTTCAATGACATCCGTATCTTTTATAACATGTCACTTACTATGAATCATTCATTAAGCTGGCCCTACACGCAAAATAATCCGATTTAGCTAAAGCATGTGTGGCCAGCTTAAACGCAAGGCAAGAATGGTCACGTAGTAAGAGACGTCAAATATGTCATGTTTGTTGGTAATTTATTATTAGGTAGCAGCCAGCTAACAATCATACATATTTGTATATTGTGTTACCTCGTAGAACACCCTTCAACTCACGTACACCCACCACTGTTGCTCGTGTCCGTTCAGGTTTCAAAAAATTTTATACGACTACATATTCTACATTTACATAAATGTTCGATCGCGTTGCATTTCTATTTTGCCGCCGCCGCCGTCGCCATGTTCGCCGCTTTATGGTGGGATTCTTCTTCTCCAAACGTTCAGGATGGTTTCAATGTGTCTGGAAAGAAACAACACGTTTTATCAAGGCCTACCTAGGAAAGTCGATGTCAATGTACGATGTATACATTTTTGGAATCAGAATTGAAAACTCTATTCACCTGTGCCAAAATCCAAAATTAAGTTGATGCTGGAAGACAAGAGACGAAACGTCGGTCGTCTTGAAATTCTAATCATCTTGTAGAGGAGAAAAAGTGACAATGTTAATGTGCAATTAATTTAGAAATCTCATTGTAAATAAAGTCACAAAAAAAATATTACGATTTTGGGAAAATTCAGTTTTTTACGTCTCTCTCCAGAAGTAATTTGAATTCCGAAACTGTCTAAGCAACATTTTGTTAGTTATCTAAATACGCAACTTTGCCCCCAGTTAAGAAACTTCGTACCTCTTGCCGGTTCCGAGGGTCGAATTTGACACACCCTGTATATGATAAGAGATGAACGTACATACCTCGTGTTATCCCACCTAATTACGCCGGTATTTCACAGCCGCCGCCTGCCCCCTTTTGGAGGGTGTTCGGCTAAGGTTCCCCGGCAGCGGCGGCCGCCGTTGCTTGCGCCTGCGCAGCTGCGTCCGGAGGTGGCGCGTTGGCGGTGGCCGACGGCGGCGGCGGCTGCAGCAGTGCCGTCACCTGCCTCAATTCCTCTGCTTTGGAGGCGCCCGAACCCTGCCCGGGAGTGTCGCCGCCCCCTCGATCCTGCTCTACTGCCGCACCTGTCTGGGTCGTCGTATTCGGGGGCGGGAACGTATGGTGCGGGTGACCAGGCCGCGGAGGACCGCCTCCGCCACCGTTCGACGTAGTCGTTCGCCACCTGCAAATGGACACTTCGGTTTATTCGAAAAATTTCTAAAATCAGGTACTATGTGATGTGATGTTATATGACATGTATAAGACGAAAAACCATGTCACTCATTTTCGCCGGTCTGTCGGTCTAACCGCTTGGCCCGTCCTGCTCGGATTTAGATGAAAATTTCACAGGACGAAAAGGCTTCATGGTTTTTGAAAATCGGCCTAGTGGCGGCAGAGAAATGTCTACCTAACTTAAAATTAAGCTACAATACAGGGTGTTTTCACATTCGAGTCATCTATTTCAACAGCTTGCAAAACTCGTAAAAAGAAGTTGATATACCAAAAATCACCTATATAAAAGTAACATAACAAGAGAGTTAGTTTACATTATCAAAAATTATTTTAAAAAACTCATAATCAAGATAAATTGATACCGTTTTTACAAAAACTATTCAAAATTGTCCCCATTTGTTCGATTAACGCAAAATCTTGCTCGTCGAATCCACGACTCTTTACAAGCTTCGAAAATAAAATCCTGGTGTTCACTAAGCAGTTTCAGTGCGTTGTTGAAGTTGTCTCAGAGTATTTACTGCTCCATCATTATACACCAACTCTTTCAAATAGCCCCACAGAAAAAAATCGCATCACGGGGAGCGAGCAGGCCAAGAAATGCGTCCATTGCACCCTATCCATCTATTCGGAAACTCATTATTTAGTTCATGAACTTCTCGTCAAAAATGTGGTGGAGCCCCATCATGTAGAATCCACATATTCTGTCTCACATCTGGAGGAACACCTTCTAAGAATTGTTGCAGATTGTGTCGAAGAAAATCTAAATAAATTTCATCGGTCAGTCGAGGAGGAAAAAAGTAGGGTCCAATAAGCGCGCCATGTGTTCCGAATCAGCGCTGTATTTTGAGGTTAAGTCATAAATTTCTATTTGCATCAAATTGTTCATGCTGTTGATGTATATCATATGTTTTATCAGCCTGAAATCTCCTACAAGTCAAAAAGGAAATATAACTTCACAATAGGAGAGCGCTGACGCTGACACGGAACAGTAGAAATATAGAAATATACCAGCCTTTCCGAAGGAGAGGAAATACTATGAAAATCAAGGAAGCCATAAAGGCGTCCTACAATTGTAAGATAACGACTGACGATACGACCCTTAGGTTCTACGAATTTAAGATCTTATTTTCTTCTAATATTGTAACTCTAAAATGAACAATCATAAGATTTTGTAGAATATGCATCTTTTTAAACAATTTTAGGAACAGTCACACCAAAAGGGAATATAGCTATATCTCAATCCACTTTCAAATAAGGCAAATTAACTGCTTAAGGCTGTTTTTTTCACTACATTGTAACTAATTGTTTTTAAAATGACTTAAATCTTTGATAGTTGAGTAAGAAATTTGTCTAAATGATTAGTAAAATCTAATTTATGATCAACGGTTAGTCCCAAACATTTGACGGTGTCTGTGCTATGTATCAATTCATTATTTAAATTTATAAAATCAAGGGAGCATTTAAACGTCGCAAATGATGTCTTATTAATATTAAAAGTCAAGTAATTGTCACACCATTTTTTGATAATTTTTCAATTTGGGATCGATTATTTAGGGTCGTATTGTCAGTCGTTCCTTTAAGGTTATGTTACAAATATCTATTTGCATAAAACTGTACATGCTTTTGATTTATCATCTGTTATATCAGCCTAAAATTTCCTACAATTCAAAAAGAAAACAGCCTCGCAATAGGAGAGCGCTGACAGTAGGAATCTAGAAATAGCCCAGCTTGTCCGAAGGAGAGAAAATACTGTGAAAATCAAGGAGGCCATAAAGGCGTAGTACAATAATTGTAGGTACGACTGACCATACGGCTCTTAAATATGTTTTAAGCTAATTGAGTGAAGTTCCAGTACAATCAAATTTGTTTTTTCTGCAATACAAATCCACAGTATCCCTTTGGGAATCACCGGTCTAGACTAAAGTCTCATTTCTTCTGCAGCGTCAGTTATAAAAAACACATATTTTGTAATTTTCAATAGATTTTTGGCGCTTTTGATTTTCATAGTATCTTTTTATAAATAACGCCAATTTACAGGAAATCAGATTGGCTTCAGAAAGCAACTGGAGGACTCTATACCATAGGTACGATACAATGACCAAGGATTCAAGCTAATTAATAAGTGTGTGAAACTGTTGTACATCGATAGAGTGCAATTTCTTGTCATAGATCATTAAACCTGAAATAAAAGAAATGTTTACCGTCGTGCCTTTACCACAACAGCTTTGTAAGCGGTGTTCTTTTGAGCAACCTCTTGAGGTCAAAAAACTATTTGACTCACCTGGTACCGAAGGTGGGTTGATGCCTCCTGGGGGCGGAGTCTACGCAGTCCCCTCCCTGAGCGGCGCGCGCCCGTTTTGCCTTCCGCCTATAGTGCAGATACGCGGCCGCACAGATCATCACCACAGACAGTACGGCGATCGTTGCACCACCCGCTATGCTCGCCGTCTCTAGCATGTACTTCCTTTGTGATGCTGCAAAACAATGACAAATAAATAATTACTGATTCATTCATCTTATGCGTGTTTGTTTATTGAAGATTTTAATTTCACAGCGGCCTGCAACAGATGTCGTCGATGTCAGAAATACAGTGGAAAAGTTCACTTTTTGATTTAAGAAAAAAAAAATACAAAATTAATGAAAAGAAAACATTTATTGCTACCAAAATATTCGTAAATTCGGCGGGTTTTATTTCTTAAATATCATTCCGTCCAAATGTTTGCCATCCCTTCGGACACACTCTTCTAATCACGCGCGCAAATTCTGAAACACACTCTTACAGAGTGATGTTTATTTCTCGTCGAATGTTGTCTTTAAGCTCCTCCAGTGTTCGCGGATTATTGGAATACACTTTTGACTTTAGATAATCCAACAAAAAATAATCGCATGGCGTGAGGTCGGGTGACCTAGAAGGCCAGTGAATGTCTCCAAACTTCGATATAACTTTTTGAGGAAAAAGTGCTTTCGTGCCGATCGATTCTCTGGAAGTATGGGCAGTGGCCACATCCTGTTGAAACCATGTGTTTCTGTTAAATCGACGTTCTGTTCTTACAATAGGAGCAAAAAAAGTGTCAGTCATGTCCTTGTATCGCTCGGAATTGACTGTTAATGCATGACCGTTGTCATCTTCAGAGAAATACGACCCAATAATACTGCTAGAGGATATGGTGCACCAAATAGTCACCTTTTGACTATGTAGCTCTTGTTGATGTTGCTCTTCTGGGTTCGTTGGTGCCCAGTTTCTGCAATTTTACTTGTTCACATAACCGTCTAAGTGAAAATGGGCCTCGTCACTGAAAACAACGTTCTCGAGTCTGTGCTGCGTAGGAAAAAGATTCAACATACCTTCAGCACAAGATTTCCTTAATACGCAATCACTTTCCTGTAAAGCATGGACTGATTGGATTTTATAAGGATGAAAATCCATTTAATTTCCATTTAATTGTTCATTATGCCATGCAGTGTTGACCTAGGGATTCCCAAAGCAGCGGAATGCTTCCGTACAGAATGCCGAGGATTTGCAATGACCGAATGAGAATCACTTTCTTCGGTTGTTACAGTAGGTGTGGGGCCAGGAATGGGTTGACTAAGAGTAGAGCCTGCTTCACGGAATCTCTTAATCCACTTTTTCAATAGGTTCTTACTTGGGGCATCTCTTGGTCGGCGAATGTTGTATCGTGTACAAAATTCCCGAAGGGCAGCTTCTGGATGAATCACCACTCTTAAAGTAAGCCTCGATAGCAAACACGTTGCGCTCCGGTCCAACGTTCCAGTGTGACTATTTAACCCGCACGCCGAACGCATCGATCAAGACCTCCCTCCACTTCCTCGCGTATGCGGTTGCCGCGTAATTCACATTTGAAAGGGGTCTATTTTCAGTCGGTGCAAAGCTTATGGCGTATCACTGTTTTCATTTGTTCTAAAGTGATGCAGTTTTTTCGGGCATATTTTAAATACATTTCGGACCTCCCATGAAGACAATTGCAGGTCATGCTATTTCGAACGTTGTGAAACTCAAATTCTACAAATAAGGAACACACTAAGTATCTAAACGTTATCTACATATTTTTAATCACGTTTGTCTTTAGTTAGTAAACAGCTCATATGCATGACTGATTCTTAAAATACAATGTTAAAAGATAAATACTTACGCAAATATGAACCATCCAAATCTTTATATTCACATCTAGGACCTACGAAACTTTCTACACATCTAAAACAAAAAAGGAAAATTAGTATATTGAAAAAGTGTAGGTTCAGAATATAATTTATACACGATATAGAAAATATTATACAGTTGCCGGCACCTAGCAAGATTTATTCTCGGACAGGCATATCTTCTAACCCTGAAAGTGAAAGCCAATGGAACGCTCGAGATGGTGGAGGATTGTACTTAATGTCATGTTATTGTTTCACTTGACAGTGACGAGCTTTGAAATTTTTCACGTTGGTCATATGAATTTGATTACGTATCTTCAAGCAAAGTGAACCCTCTGCTTAATTTAAAAAAACATTAGTTTTGTTCGAGCTTAGATCAATAATGAAACACTTGTATCCGCTATATTTATTACTTATATTTTTACATGTATATTATTATTAGATACATATGTACAAAGTAGTTTTGTGGCGATTACTCAAAACAGAATTAATGTACTACATTTACTTTATTGCAAATGTACGAGTACTAACGGTGACAGCTTTTTTGATTGAATTCCAAAATCAACACTTCTTTTAGTTGAAGTAACATGCAAGGTGTGATCAAAAGCAACATTATTATTATGCAATTTGGTGATTTTCGTCCTAATTAGGAAAAGAGTAAATGCATAAAAGCTAAAAGTTTGTCGCTGAACTCCGGGACAACGAAAACAGTGGATATATTGAAAAGTGATGACGGTGGTATAACCGACTTTCAAGATTATGATGTCTTCAAGATCGTAAATGGTCTTGACGTAAAAATAATATCTAATTAATTTAATAACATTTTCGTTTTATTTTGTAGATTTTATTTTGAAAATTTTTGAGTATTGCAAAGAATGTCACTTTGCCCCTAAAAAACTGACAACTATCTGTTTTGTGCAATTACGAGGAAACTTACATAGTTTTATGTATTCATACACGTGTTGAAGTGATGAATTTTAAAAATGGTGAAGAAAACATTGTTTACCTGTTAAAGATCTTAAAGGTAGCGTAGCCTTACTTTTTTCGAAGAAAGTACGTAATATTTCACTTTTGCAGCGGGAAAACCCTCTTGTGTTTTTCGATATTTTTGAGTTGGACGTTGATTCGAAAAATATTGTAGGAAAGCTAATAAAGAATATAAACATGGATATCTAGGAAAATCGAAAAATAATTATTTTCCTTTTTTGAAGTAAGGTACGTTTCTTCCCATATATTTCATGATTCATCACAAATTAAACATGTACATTAAGTGGAATGGTTGATTTTATATTCTAGAGATATAAAGGATGCATAAAAATGAGTTATCACACGACCCCCCTCCCATTCCATGTGAAAAAATGTTCCCGCTCAGGCGCCATCTTCAAAAATGAAGACCATACTACCATATGTTTCTAGGTGCGTAGCTGGGATTAATGTTTTCGACCTAGAACATCACTTTTCTGGATTCTCCCGTTAAGAAATCTCTAGTCCGTCACGATGAAGTAATAATTAGCATAAAAACTAGTTCGATGGGCCATATGAATAAAACGGAGCAGCATATGCTTATATTTGTAAAATACAAAGTGAATAGAATTATAAGTAAATTCTTTTGCTTATAAATGTATGAAGCAAATGCTCATGATAGAAAAGGATTGGCCTCAAACGTATGAATAAAGCCAACCATGTGCTTACAAGTGCGAGTATTTTTTGTGGAAAGCTGATGGTGCTATTTAGTAGCATCAGAGCTGTGACTTAGGGGTGCCAGGTATTTTTTGGACCGGTGTTTGGTTGAAGGTAGAAATGGCTGAAATAATAAACCTCCGAAATGTGAAGTATTGAAAGCATCATCGTATAGCGCGTACGAGTGATTTTAAAAGTATGTTCCGGTATGAAGAGGAAAATGTGGAGTGGTTAGCTCAGAACTTATCGGACAAGAATGTAGAACGGCGAGGTAGTGGATTATCAGATTTTCACAGAATGGTAAGATATTTGGCAAATTCAGGTTTTCAAAGCGAAATTGGCGAAGAGCTAGGCATTGAGACGACCACTGATTCTCCTACTGTGACAGTGGTGGTAAAAACATAATTCTACAGGCTAGTCGTTGGATTTAGTTTCCTAAAACTCAACATGCTATGATGAACGCTAAATAATTGTAGACAAGTCAGTAAGATTGAGCATGAGTCGCCCTCCATGGTCTCGTATGAAATGTTTGCCACGAAAGAAGTTAATAGGCTAATTACCCTTTTTTGCACAGGTCTTCTTCAGTAATTTTTTCATTAATTGTACTGTATTTATTAACTGCCTCATAACACTCATATAATATTTTTCTTTTTATTAGATGCAGGTATCTGTGATTTACTAAAGATCTCTGAATATTTGCTGAGTTGGTTTCCTATAAAGTCTAGCACCTGCAAGTTACTGTAGCGTTTTTCTGGATTCTTTATGGGTGTAGATTAAAACACGGAATTCTACAAAAAGAAATGCACTTATTCATTTAACTTGACTAGATAGAACATTTATGTACACCACTATTTATGTCTGACTATTTATTTACGAATTACTATGTCGCGCCGTTCACTGAACTATACTCTCCTCTACCCTGCTTCCATCTCCCGGCCGTCCCTATATAGTCCGCATCGCAGGTACTCGTTGATTCGAGAAGACTCCGGGGAGTCACAAAGCGGCAGTCTAGAATCTTCGAGGTCACGTCGCGTCGATCTAGAAGGCGAGTCACTGGCACGGTCCTCAACAGATGTCGCCGGCACCGAAGGAGAGTCTGGCACGGGGCACGGTCCCCAACAGAGATCGCCCATGAAGCTCTGCGAGTAGGAGAGTCTGGCGCGGTCCCCAACAAATGGCGCCAACAGTACTATTCATTCTTGTTACATTACTATCATTTTCACATGCAACATCTTCGGAATTCGACATTTTGAACACTGGATAACCGTATCTTTGCAGCACGTTACTAAGACTTGTTATTCAGAGTCGTGAAAATATGAGTACCAATAAAGTTCCAATATTTTAGACATGAGCGTTTTCTCAAGCATTTGTTTGCAAGTATGAGATCATTATTAGATATTCAAATTGAATGAAGCAACTGCTGATACTCACTTTTTGTTCTAGGCATTTGCTTTTTCTTCTCCCTTATGTTTATAAGCACTTACTTAATTTTTATTCATAGTGACCGATATCCCGTAACGGGCGTGTCTTCCACTTACGCTACGGTATCGTCTCCAATCCTCCGCATTGGAGTTGCAGAGAGTTGTCGATTTAATTATACGTTATTGTTATACTTACTCGCAATTATATATGAGCGAATTTCCGATTTTGACGGTGAAGCATGTGGCGCCGTTGAGGCAGTACCAGGCGGCGTACTCTGGCGGGCATTCGTACGTGTGGAATGTGATGTTGGGACGGGGCGTCGGTGCCGCTGGAGGACGCGGCTTCGGCGTCGTTCGAGACGAACACCCCTCTGAAAACAAAAAAGTACCGTTGAGTACCCAATAAATCCGTCTTGAGGTTCAAAATACGCAGACAAGAAGACAGATGAGGTGGTGAATATATTGACAAAATGCATATTTATATACTTGCTCAAAGTGCTTGACGTATTTCGTAATGCTTCGAGGTGTGTCAAGATACTTTGTTTTTACTTCCTACGCCTCTGAGCGAGGAAGTATTGTAATCGCGAAACATTTCGAACATGGGATATAATGTTTTTCAAGTGTTATATGACACGTACATCACAAAAAAATCCCTTTTTTATACCGAAACAAGCCGCGCAGGCAGAAGCCTAGATACGGGGTCACCGCGGCTGTTATGATGATCCCAAAGAAATTTAATACCATTTTTGAACTGCCTAAGATTAGTAGAACTGGGAAAAGGTTCCTCTGGTAGACTGTTCCACAATCTCACAATCACCCTTGGGACAAAGAAGCGGTCCTATCGGCCAGTTCTAGATGTACGAAGTTCGACTCGGTTAGGATGGAAGGCCAAAGTCTGGCGGATCTGTCTGGCAAGCACATCGCGTGGCGGCATCAAGGAAGAGAGCTCTGAGGAGCAAAGCCCGTTTTTGTAGCGGTAGAAGAGAGCTAGATCACCGGTGCGAAAGGGTCCCAAGACTGCCTGTTAGAGAAAAGTCATCGATCAGTCGGACAGCCCTACTCTGGACAGTATCGAACATAAATAATGTAGTCGGAGCGGCAGCACCCCAAACGTGTGAGCAATACTCGAGGCTAGACCTTATCTGAGCCTTGGGTATAGAGTGAGAAGGTCATGCAAAGAAAAATACTTATTAGCCCTAAACAAATAGCCTAGCTTTTTCCCAGCAGTGTTGGTCTGTCTGTCCGGTAATAATCCTTGGCCGATCTATAAGTTGAAAAGCTCTTCTCGGATTTGGATGAAATTTTCGGTCCAGTATCGACGGAGAAAAGGAACAAAGACGGAAAAATAAAAATCGCTCAAACGTCGTTTCAACCTGAGCTTTTTGAAACACATTTTCGGGGTAAATAAAATTGGCTGTGGGGGATTGTAGGGGGCTGAGGAAGGGTATATCTCAATTTTTTGATACACTCCCAACTTGATTGTCCTGCTCGTATGATGGACGGTAACTACCAATAGGGCAGGGAAAAATGCCTATGGACTAATTGTATGGACCTGTTTGACTGACTCGATTTGTTTAATTTCTCTATTGTACAAGTGCGTAAATATCTTTTTTCAGAGGGTTTAACTTGTACCGAACTTATTTCTTCACGAACAGATGGCGTTGCGCAGGAAGTGCACAGTCAACCTACTTGACGGGATTTTTTAATAAGATTTTCAAAATAACTATCCCCCAGATAGTGTGAAAAAGGGTCAAGAGGGTCAAATTTACGTAGTGAAACATTTAAAGAACACATATGTTCAATTTGAATTATTTTGTGATTACAATAGTTGCTCCGCCCATTGCCGTGTAAAGTAACACAAACCATATATTAATAAACATAGGTTGGATTTGAATACGTTTTATACTACATAAGAACACTTCTTATGCATACAGTTTAGTAATTTATGGGAGAATCTCTGCATCTTATCCGCCCTTTCACACCATTCCTACACCCCCTGTGTTTACTCATTTGATGGTTTATTCATTCAAAACAAGTTTTTTATAAGCATGTTAGTGTCGGCAAATGTTTCAAGTTTTTCATCATAATCTAGACGTTCGTCAAAGTAGTTTTAAATCTTCAATATGGAGGCTATACTATATTCTGACCTCATTTACTCTGCGAAAAAATACGAGCGCGCAAATGTGATTTTAATACACTATATTCTATTATTTAAAATATTGAAGAATCCGCGTAGGCTCATAATAAAAATGATGAAAATAGAGATGTATATTTTTGATACTATTTTTGGACCCCCAAGACATCCTAGGAACAGCGCTCGTTTGGATCAGTTCCCCGTGTACAAAATTTCGAAACGATTAGGATAAAAGGTATAATTTCGACAGACTCAAATGGTAGACCGAGAACACGGCAGTACCTAGGAGGAACGTCCATTGGTATATCGAAAGAAGAGAGCCAGATTGCCGATCGCCTGTCGATGTGAGAAGGAAGTGTCATTGATTAGTCGGATAGCCCTCTTCTGGATAACTTCAAATATGGCTAGCACAATTGAACTCAAGTAATGATAAAAATACATTTATAGTAAAGCTTGATACTTCTGTCAAAGAATATAGTCTAGTCAAAATTACAGCCTCAAATCAAATGCTATTTCTGCCAGATTCTAAGAAGGACGTTAAATACCCTACCAGGATATAATGCTATTCTTTCATTATAAGGTGTGAAAAGCATTCGACTATTTCCCGTTTTTGTCAACCGAAACTCCTTGACGCTATACACTATACCGTCTCCAAACAACTAATCCCCATAGGAAAATATTTGTGTTTCGGTGTCGAAAGGGCCTTTTCCCTCAGATCGATATACAAAATAAACTCTCGGTGTCCCGGTAGAGGCTACCTACTATCTAACACAGAAAAACTCACCCGAAAAACCACCGAAACCGACGAAATCACAATGCCGCAGAAAATTAAAAGGATATTTACCTTTTAATGGTGCGCGCACACACAGAATGATTGTCAGGAAGGATTAGAATTTTTGTTTGGCCGTAAGGTATAATCGGGTTGGCGTGCGTTATTGTCGCATGACAAATGCTTGAACATAATGTCATTGGCAAGCAGTGGCGGCACACAAAATGACACATATTGAAGGATTCTTAAACGAGACAAAAAGGTACTGTAGATATATATATATATATATATATATATATATATATATATATATATATATATATATATATATATATATATATATATATATATATATATATATATATATATATATAAAGTATGTATAAACTGGCGCTGATATAGATACGCAAGTTTAATGTTCTATCATATCCTCGAAAAAATTTATAACATGCTAACGTATGGTAGTTGACAGTACAAAGAAAACAATTAATCCGCATCTAACTTGCAATATTTGACATTCCAAATATTTATCGTATACATTTAAATACATCTTTCGATCATATCTCGGATAATATCGGAATTTTGAGATACCTGTAATTACACAGTTAAAGTTGAGAGCAATCTTATCAAATTTAAAGAAGTACTAATATATTTAGAGAAAAGTAAGCAAGTTACTCTAATCCTACTTCGTTATATTTCAATTTGAATGCTAAAATGTGTCTTTCTGATTATTTTAATCTTGATCATTCCTAAACACTATGTATAATGAACAAAACTACCCCATATACCTTAGAAAATATCACATTTCAATCCTTTTTCCGCTCGCATGATTTCCGCTTAGGTACACAATAGACCAGGATATCTAGAATTTCAGAGAAAAAACTGTAATAGGGTGTTTTACAGCGAAACTACATTTTTGAGGGTACCTATACGAAAAGGCCACTTGCTGAGAGATATAAGCAATTTATTATATTCAAATAGTTATGAACTATTGATGAAAGTCGTCAAAAAAGTTGTTGGGTATAGAAAATGAAATGAAAATAAGACCTCTAGCCAATTTGTTGTAAAGGTTAATTTGTTATTACAAAAAACCTCACTCAAGTAATAGCCAAAAGATGTTGGAGGTATTTTTATTCACTACAATTTTTTTTACCATTTGAACCAATAATTTATAATTATTTGAATATACACGAAAAGGTGATTTTATCAACATTGACGTTCAATAAAAAAGTTATCCAGTAAATTTGTTTGTATCTATCAAAACCGAGCCTTGTCATATACCACCAAGAATATATTTCGGCTGTAAAACCACTTATAACAATTTTTTCTGAACCATTGTCGATTTTTGGATAGTCAGCTGGCTCTATAGCACATATAGCTACAACCAATTAATTTTATTGGTAAATGTTCCATCTACAAGGTATAGACATTTTTTCACCGAAATTTTATTGAATCTGATTTATTATAAATATCCAAGTTGAACTAACAAATCAACCCAAGAAAGCATAACATTTCGATGGGAGTGAAGAGTTTTCATCTTCCAAAGATACCTGTGGTGTACGTTGTCCGTTAACAAGAAGACATCCCTTTTTAAAAGCAATGCTTTATGAGTACGTCACTGGCACTATCAACCCTTTCTCCCAGTAACCACCGTTCACCAGGCACCATAATCATCAAATCCCACCATCAAGTCGCGCCGCACTACGCTGTCCTGTCTCCATGTGAAATTTCCTACAATATGATTATGCCCATTCACCCTGTTAAGGCAAAGGGCCTCCCATATTATCCTTCGGTTTCGCTAGTTTTAGGGAAACAGTGCCCAGCATGTATTATGAGCATGAAGCCTAATTGTTGAAAAGGATTATCTGATTATGGGCATGTGTTTGCAAAATGGTTTATAAGGGGTGGTTCTGTGAACAGAAACTTGCCCGACTGCGTCTAACGTATGGAGGGTAACTAAACGTCAACATACACATTACAGATTATGTAAAATTGCTTTTAAGTTTAGGTGTTTATTTAGCTTTGAGATACATTATTGCATTAACATGAACATATTTCTAGTGGTAAACCATTATACGTTCTTAGTTCTTAGTTTTAAGCCTTTCTATATAATAATTCTATTTTAATCTTATGTCATAATATGACAATATTTTGTTTTGACTATTGTATCACTTTATGTTTCATTTCGAAGATTTAGGGGCCTGTGTGATATGCTTAACAAAATAAACTCAGTTATTAAAAAACTTGGTTTAGTTTAGTCCAGAAAACTAGTAGAAAATGTTCCTAAACTTTTTGAAGAAAACTGTCACATACAATCAAAATCACCTTTTAAGGTAACTGTAGCTAAGGCCCGTATCGTCAGTCGTCCCTACAATTGTAGGGCGCGTTCATGGCCTCCTTGGTTTTCATAGTTTTCTGCTTTTCCGTGTCAGAACTCTATTTTGAGGTTATGTCACAAACATCTATTT